TTCATATTCCTTTACATGTCACTACGTTTAAATAGGTTGACTTGGGACATCTTATTCGTGGTTTTTGTATTAGACCCGTCGTCCATTTATTTGTAAGTCAATGTTTTCAAGTGTAAAAATTTTGACTATAGAATAAATGATTATTTGACTTTGAATTTGATAAAAGCTCGTCTAATAGATCCTCGGAGGTATATCCACTAAAACCTGTGTACGCGCTCTCTCCTGCGGGTGGCGGTTCGGGTTCGGGTTCCCGTTACGATTCTCCACTCACTTATCCTGACTACTGTTATATTATTATTATTATTTAATGTATATCATGTCTGCTTTGGTGTTTTTTGGTTGTGACCTGTGCCTTCTTAGTATGGAACTTGACACGCCTATCAAGGGGCAGCATTGGGTGAGGAGATGAACAGGAGTTTCATCCTCTTCATGGCAGAATCTACACTCTCTATTTCCTATCTACCCAAGAATTATCATGTGCTTGTTCATATTATCCCGTTAAGTATTTAGTTAGTCATAACTTTTTTATATAATACCAAGCGACGGCTCATCAATCATTTAGTACACCTGGTGGTAATGCAACACGCCTATCCATAACAGTTGCAGTGCCACTCGGACCTTTAAATCGCAAAGATGCACTGCCACTGCACCTGTCACCCTCAGGCATAACTTAACAAGTCCCATGTGCCTGTAACTTCACCAGCACCCTTATCCTTAAAAACCGTAACACAGTAATGCTTACTAATGTAAGCAGTAATCTGCTTGGCGGCAGAAATAGATAAGGTGGCAGTACTTCCCTGGAAGAACTCTTTCACAAGGAGCTCTACTGCTACTACAAGGAGCTTTATTGCTACTAACTACTATTATTTCGAAAGTTGCATAGAACCGACTCTCCGGTCACTCTGTTACAGCACAAATGTTATGGCAATAATAACAAATCATTAAAACTGCCCGAAAACAGAAAAAGTTAATAATATGCAAAGTTCTTATGTATTATGGTCGACCAGAGATTATCCTGACAGGCTCACAGAAGAGAAGTATGGTAACTCCAGACAAAGTAACAGCGAGGCTAGTATGTGTACGCGACAGCCGCGCGTCTGGAATGGGCGCGCATGTTCTCATAATAATGAAAGGCGCGTTGGGATGACCAGTATCATGCAACGTAAGTGCATTGCAAGATTATGCACATGTGTGCGCTCGTACACGACCAGAAAAAGTTTAAGGAGACTGGTATCATGACCATGGCAACACAATACATTTACTCGTATTTTTATATGCCCATAAAAATATACATCATTTCAATAAGAAAGAAGATATCAATAATATTAACCTTAGAGCTAAGTCCAAACTCATTGTACCACGATTTCGTTTAACCAAGGTAGATGACTCTTTTATGGGGAACTGTATACGTTTTTACGATAAGATTCCGGAGCATATATTAAGATTATCATTTCCTAAGTTTAAAAACTGCATTAAAAATATTTTAATTAAAAAGTCATATTACAAAACTGAACACTACGTGTTTGATAAAGACGCACGGAAAGACGAGATAGCTCTAGATTCCACACAAATTTGATTCAAAGCATAGCATTTAAGTTTATTTGAAAAGAGAGAGAGATTCTTCTCAAGTGAGTCAGTCAACGAGCACTAGCTTAAAGTAACATTTTCAAGTGAAAAATTTTACCAATGGAATAAATGATTCTTTGACAATGACTTTGACACATTATACGGTAGCTGGGATTAAAGAAAAGTCGCCCATCACTTGCAATATTATTGAAAGGAGGCACAGATTTTAAGACTTTCGTGTTGATTGACCATCAAGTATATAACTAGAAATAGAGACAAAATAAGGGCCATCCATACCTGACAACTCATCAGTCAAATGGCACTCAGTTTTAAACTCGTTTGCGCTGAAATCGCAAATTAGAAAGCTGAAATAGTACAGCGCCAACAACTGACCTGTATGTCTCCGTATATTCGAAAAATATTCTGTATTTGTATTATAATAAAGATAATATCTCTAACTACGGGGGGCTGTTCCATTGGGTCGTGTGGGAAAAACAGCAATACATCTAATTACAAAACAAACGGAATCACATTTCATCGGTGATTAAATATGAAATTATGTAATTTTTAAATTTTCGTCCTTTACAGCAAAGCTTAGCTTAGCATTACAGCAACTTAAACTGGTCGATTTGAAATGAAACAATTGTAAAAAAGCGATAACCATGGTTATTTATACTTTCGAATTTAATGAAATTCGAATATTCAAATCCCGGTATTTGAATTCCGAAATATCTGGAAAATATAAGAACTACTGTGGTAAAAGAAAAAGTTAGAAAGAAAATAGCTCTATATAGTAAAGAACCTGTAACTAGTATCAATAATTAAAAGGAGGCGTCTGTTACTTTTGTGATATGGTGTAACGGGCTGTTGTCCGCAACTCGACGTCCAGGCGCCTATTTTGGGTGTGGTGGTCGCAAGGTCCTACTCGTGCCAACCAAGCTCTCCCAAGAATCTCTGCACCCTCTTGGGTTTGCTGAAGACTTCGGGGAGAGACCTTGGCCCTCCGAGGTACTTTGCTCTTTAGTTGGCCACGCCGGAGCATTGTAGTAGGATGTGCGCGGCCGTTTCTTCCTCCTTCATGCATGCTCTGCATAGAGGGCTGTCCGTATTACCTAGATTGAAAAGGTGATTATTATATGGGCCATGATCAGTTAGAGCTGGTGCTAGAATGCGCTCTCGCATCTGTTACTGTTATTGTAAAACGAAAAGTTTTAAATAAATAAATCAAATTATTTCGATATAAGGCACGAGAGGTTTTTCCCAGTTTTATATTCAAGGCGAATGGAGAAGAATTGTGTTTCAGCAATAATAATATTTCGTTGTTTTAACTGAGCTGTCACGTAAAAGTAACAAACAGATGGAAATACCTTAACGTAATAGATACCGACCTAACATTTTTCTCAACATATACATACAAATATCAAAGCGAGTAGGCGTACTAATAATAGTATAAAAAAGTAATCCACAAACAAAACCAACCAAGCGTGTCGTACGGCATAAAAGGAACAGCAAAAGTAGGAGATTAAAATTTGGTAAAAGAAATCTTTAGAGATCCATCTACGCTCAGAAAACAAATGGTGTGTAAAAAAGGGCAAAATTGATTTTTTTTTTCTATTCTTTTAGGAAAAACGTGAAAAGTTTCTTTCTAAAATAAAATTTTTACAGCGTTCTGCGGGGAAAATACTGTACCTAAGTAAATTATATTTAGCCACGAGATAATGTTTCTGCTAAAGTTATGATTAATAATATTTTTTATTGACGTAAAATAATAATATTTATATTGTAGCAATATAGATAAATCTAAATATACTAACTAATAAGTTTTTACACAAAAAGACCTACCTGAAAAATTTGTGCATTTACATCTATCTGCCAAGTTTTATTGAATTTGATTAATGGAAAGTGGACAAAATCCAATAAACTGAATTCATACCCTAATTTGCCAGAAAGGGAAGTAGAACTTTACATTTGAATGGAACCACTACTGAGGTACTCCTTTCCAACAAAAAAGAAAAGTAACGTAAACGTCGAAATCGGTTTACAAAATGTCAGAATAATCGCGTAACAAACATACATACAAAAAAATATACAGTCCAATTAGGAACCTCGTCCTTTTTTTAAGTCGATTAAAAACACGTTTTGTTAGCATTTTTATTCAAAGTAGGCCTTACCGGTACTTCAATTTCCGGCTATTTTATGTTAGGTCAAAGATCAGCGAATATAACTGTAGCTGAGAAGAACTCCTTGTGAAGATTTCATCCAGGGTAATATCGCCACCTTACCAATTTCTACCGCCAAGCGGTAATATGAGCTTTATTGCATTCCGGCTCTGAAGGGTGTTGATGAAATTACAGGCACATGGGATTTGTCAACTTATGACCCAGGGTGACGAGTGGCAGTGGCAGTGCCCCTCAGATCTTTGCGACTTAAAGCTCTGAGAGGCACTGCAACTGATAACAGTTAACACCAGGTGCATGACTTGTTCGTCACATCCATTATAAAAAAAAATTCGTAAAAGGCATTTTAAATAGAATGAGGCTCTTAATTAGGAATTTAAAATCAATCTTAAGGTCAAATATATGATAAATAAAAAATCAGTAACGATAGGACTTGTCTTTTACCATTACGTAATTTTTAACATACTAAATCAATGTTTCTAAAAACATCTAAATACCAAATTGGACTTCAAGTTCTTTATCTCTCACCTACGGTAACAGATTTAACGATGCTCTAGAGATACTTATTCGGTTACAATGAAATCGTCTACCCGGCAATCCCGTGACTATTGCCATAAATCGTATTTAATTTATCGTCGGTTTTTAGCTACTACCTACTTACAATTTGGGATTAAATGATGGTTCCTTTCCCTTTCCAAAAATCGAACAATTTGTAACTCACAATAGGCATGCCCTTTGCCCTACCTCTGCTCTCGAAAGGAAACGGATGCAATAAGCTTCCACTTCGATTCCCATTGTAAGTGGCTAGTACTGAAATCCTGTTCTAACCAAAGTTTCCATTGTATCCTGATCCCATACATTTCGTAACGTTTTTCCTGAAGCTACTATAAAAAAGGGAACTGTAAGGAGGCAACAGTTCTAAATAATTTGGTAGTTTTGCAAACGAGATCGTAAATTTTCGCTGGTCGCTCTGGGCTCAGTTTACGATTGTGGTCGTCGTGAGTTTTAGTGCTATTAATCGCTACGTGAAAATAGAAATAAATGGAGTAATATCCGTAAAATATTTGTCGTGGACGGTGTATACAACGTTCTTATTTTGTATGCATCGTAGGAGGATTTGTAAGCCTAATTTTCATGCCTTTCATGTGATCTACTATGATGTGTAATGTGTTAGTTAGTATTATGACTAATGTAATGTAAATTTTTCGTCAAATACGGTGTAAGGATCATAAAAACTAAGCTTATTCCATATTACAGAAATTGATATCCATAAGTCTGAAGAGTGTCGATACGAGTGGGTAGAAGTTCGTGATGGATACATGCCAGATGCACCATCGTTGGGTCGCATATGTGGTTCAGGAAAAGGACCTGTTCTGCGCTCTACTGGATCCAGGCTAACTGTTGTTTACCAACCAGGTCCCAGGCCAAAACCACATAAAGGATTTAAAGCTCATTACGAGGGTAAGTCTGACGAAGGTTACACGAACCAAATCCTAAGTTTTTTGACTTTATTTTGATTTTTGTTAAAAGAATCATACTATTTAGTAATCGAACAACTTTACGAACCTCATACTCACATACATATACTTCACGCCCTTTTCCCATCGAGGTAGGCAGAGACAATTTAACAGTCTTCCATTTGCTACGATCCTGCATCCTTCGCCTCATCAACACTCATCAGTGCTTTCATACATACTCATCAGTTGGGGACAAGGGTACTCTTGATCTGGCCCTTCGTTAGAACGACCTCAATTTGGTCATGGTAAGTTCGCCTTAGACGGCGGTTGCCACCTTGCCGGCTAACACTGGCATAATAAATAAATCTGTTAAATCTATTCGTCAATCTATTTTATTCATTCATTTCTTTGTCACAATGTCTTCTTCTACTTCTTCGACCTCACCATTTAGAAGCACCTGTTTTCCGACCGATAACAATAAATAACATCAAATATATTCACATTTAACAGTCCTTAACCTCGTTAAGTAAACATAAATCCATCTCCATGATTTACTACTATCTCTTGGCCCCATCTGTCTGTCAATCACAGACTTTTATGGCCTGTGACAGGAAATATGTGGGCAGAAAAGTATCACTAATATTACATCCGTAGCAATGAACATTGTAATGTTAAATTGTTCCTAAACCCTGGGAAACAAAAGCGGTCAAACCACTATATCAATCTATGTCTAACCTAATGTATCAACATTATCCCTTTGAAAATACACAAATTTATCACTTACGTACATGTTATTACCTATGAAATGACTTGAAGAGTTATCTTCAATATAATTGTTACAAAATTGTTATGCAGTTCATTACTTTTGGTTTTCTCGCCATATAGTATACTTTTTGATGGAGCTTTGGGAGTTCATGAAGAAAGGGACGCATTTAGAACTAGGTGGGGATTTTTGTCGCAAGCCAGATCCTCGTTAGGTGGCTTAGCCGGGGCAGTTGGTATTTTAAGTTTATCGTATGCTATTGATAATATTAAATGAACTTTTAGAAAGCTTGAAAGAGATATTTGTTGCAGCTGTATGCGGAGGTGAAATAGAAGTGGACAGCAATGGTCATTTGGAATCTCCAAATTATCCTGATGATTATCAACCTAATAAGCTATGTGTCTGGAGACTGACTGTTCCACAGGTAGCATATAAAAATCTGTCTTGTTAAATCCAATGCATATTAGAACTACTTTTAATATTCACATTCCATATAAAGTTGTATGTTACCTAGTGCTATTGCCTAGTGTTATTACTTACATAATTATATAATACTCATAAATTATGTATGTTTCGACATTCTGATCATCTACTATGAGCATTCCTCATTGGGAGTAGGAGTTTCTGTATACGACGCACAAAAGGCAGTTAGATTTGGTTGTACATTTCAATACACAGTAGGTAAGTGTTATTTCCTACGAGATCTACAAACGATGGACTTTGTTTATGTATTTCGGTATCTGCTTTCCATTACAATATATTTTTTTTCAGGATTACCAAGTAGCGTTAAGATTCCACTCGTTTGATGTGGAGAACCACGATACTTGTTCATACGACAAAGTGAAAGTTCGGGATGGGGATTCCATGGACAGTCCACTTATTGGCATGTTCTGTGGACACAAAATTCCACCAGATATCAGGTACAAATGTTACTTTCGTTATTGTGACAACGAATTTTGCTATAATTATAGTGTCAGTTTTAGTAAATATGCGAATTTCACTAGACCACGAAATTGCTTCTCTGCACACGACATATAATCAAATAACCAATATATTAAAAAAGAAATATAAATTAAGTACTTTTATTTACAAGTACTGGGAAATTAAAGTTAGACTCTCACAACGTTGAACATTAATATGAAATGCTACCTGCGTCGTCGACACGGTTGCGAAGAGCAGCAAAATAAATATCTCGAAGTATATTTTACCGAAACTTACTTTTCTGCCTTTAGTACTGACTCATTTACAAGTTACAATGAGATGATAAAACGTGTTTGTAGAATAAATAGAAACAATAAGAAAACTTTTCAGATACCATTAAGATGAATGTGCAATTTAGTTTTTTTATGCTAGTGCGATTAATATGATTTTCCTTTCTAGGTCTACATCCAATAAACTCTTAGTGATCTTCGAATCTGACAGCACAGTCCAAAAAGCAGGTTTCTCGGCTACTTTCATGAAGGAATTCGACGAATGTGCCTCGATAGAGCACGGGTGCAGCCATTCCTGTGTCAATACCTTGGGAGGATATGAGTGCGCCTGCGATATTGGATATGAACTTCATTCAGATGGAAAACAGTGTGAAAGTAAGTTGTTGTTCAATATGTTAGTAGCAGTAGAGCTCCTTGTGAAAGAGTTCGTCCGGGAAAGTACTGACACCTTATCTATTTCTACCGCCGCGCAGTAATGTGAGCATTACTGCGTTCCGGTTTTGTAGGGCTAGTGAAATTACAGGCACATGGGACTGGGAAGTTATGTCTTAGGGTGACAGGCGCAGTGGCAGTGTCCCTCAGATCTTTGTGATTTAAAGCTCTAGGTGGCACTGCAACTGTTATGGACAGGTGTGTAGCTTACCACCAGGCACCGTCACTTGATATTCTTAAAAAAAAACAATTTACTTAAGAGCCTATCAATATTGAGTATACTACCTCAAATGGCTTTGGTTATTTTTTTTTTCTTTTTTTCTTTCTTTATTTAAAGAGCTTTGTCACAATAAGCGACTACACCGCTCTATACATATATTTATATTATAAAGTAAAGAGAGAATTGAAGCAGCTTATAATTGCCTTAACTTCAAGCCTCTCTCCACCAATCTATATAGCATCTTGGCTTCCCTTGATAGGGGAAAGGCCAAGACGCTGTTGCATCCGCCAACTTGTCTAAACTGGTCACATATAGCAGCTACATCAAATCTAAAAGAATCGTTTCGTTCACACTCCTTCCAAATGGCTTTAATTTGGTTCGTAAAAAATCAATTCTGAAACAAAGCCAGTGTCCCCCGCCGCTCGACCTACTCAAAATGAACCGTATTATTATGGGAATTTTTTTAATTTGAGGTGAAGTAGTATCGATTCTTAACTTCATGCCGTACAGCCCTAGTCGATACCTATTAAAAATTATATAGGTATTTAGGTAATTACTTTCTTCATTTCCAAGAAAATAAAGTATCTCAGGCTGATAATGAGCATAGTGCACATAGAGTAAAGTTTTTATAAACTGTTTTAACACAGAACATATGTTTTTAATAATGATGTTCAAATTATGCTTCACACAATGTTTACACAAAGTTAAATTCTTAAATGCGATGGCTTTTGCGTTCCTGTCACTAAAGTCAAATAAGTTTATCGGTCTGTTCATTTCAATTTGCTAGCAACTGTATCTACATATGCGTTTAATGGACAATCAGTCAAACTATTAAGAATATTGGTAGTTCTATGATAAGATACCTACGTATCTTTCCATGTTCATTGATTAATGACTGAGATATTTTTCACAAATAAGTAAAGCGTCGTAAAAAAAGATAATTATTCAAAACTCCAGTTTCCAGTATAACCAAAACGTAGCGCTACATGCCAAAATAGGATATAATATTATTATTAAGGCTATCAGCGCAAAAGTGGTAAAACCAACATTAATAAGTAAATACAAAGATCGAACACTCAGAAAAAATTCCTTCGATCCGGTCGGATTCGCTGTATGGGTACTAACTGGGTGATAAATCTTTCATAGATTTCTCATAGATGGCCCTACGACTAAAAGTCGTTGAAAAACCAAATACAAAGACACGACGCAAGCACATAGAAAAATTCGTGAGGTCCATTGGTTCGTTCCGTGGCTTAGTTGGTGTAGCGTCTGCCACTGTATGCAAGAAGAAGTCGGTTCGAATCCGACCGGTTCGAAGGAATTTTTTCTGAGCGTTCGATCTTTGTATTAATAATTATAACAAACTAGTGGAGTAATTTCACAAAAAAAAATTGAACATCAATTCAATAAAAATTTAATTAATACAGTGAATAGCGACATCTCTCGCCAGGACTGGTGGCTGTAAAGGTATTAACTGGGTGATAATCTTTCATAGATTTCTCATGGATGGGGCTTAGACTAAAAAGTTGTTGAAAAACCAAATACAAAGACACGACGCAAGCACATAGAAAAATTCATTGGGTCCGTTGGTTCGTTCCGTGGCTTAGTTGGTATAGCGTCTGGCACGGTATGCAAGAAGACGTCGGTTCGAATCCGATCGGATCGAAGGAATTTTTTCTGAGTGTTCGATCTTTGTATTAATAATTATAACAAACTAGTGGAATAATTTCACAAAAAATAATTGAATATCAATTCAATAAAAATTTAACCAACATTAATTAATTAATAGATTCAAGCGTTACTTTGCGGAAGTCCATGTTAATAAAAATGGAAGTAAATTCATTTGCTACTCCGCCAACTCATTGAAGGTTAAATCGTGCAAAATAGCTGCGCTTGTGTTGAATTTTTTTATTTACTTTTTTTAATAACATATAGGGATAATTAACGCATGAAAAAATATTCAACACAAGCGCAGCTATTTTGCACGATTTAACCTTCACTGGGTTCGCGGAGTAGCAAATTAATTTACTTCTATTTTTATTACCAACATTTTTTTTCACAATAAAAGATATAAATGATACATAAGTGTATGCATTATTATTTTAGATTTGGATGCTAAATAAATAAAAAAAAAATTTAATTATTATATATTTTATTATACATGGATCATCATCCAGTCATGAAATAAGTACTTTTGTATTTGAGTGTCATTTAAAATAACTTTCTACAATTAAAAATAATTATGTGGGTTAAACCACTTTTGCGCTGATAACCTTAATTATAAGTTATAGCTTTATTATGGGTAATGACTAATGACTGAATCAGAATACCGCTATATTTAAAGCAATAATATTTTTCAGATGCATGCGGAGGAGTTCTCTACGCTTCCAATGGCACTATCACATCACCTTCGTTCCCGGACCTGTATCCACCATCCAAGAACTGTCTTTGGGAAATCGTCGCGCCACCACAACATAGGATCACTTTGAACTTTTCTCACTTTGACCTGGAAGGCAACAGTATGTATCAGCAGGTGAGTATACTTATCCATCACTTTAGGAACGGTGATGTTCCATTATCTTCTTCAAATGTTCGTAACAAAGCGATGAGTCAATATACAATATATCCAGAACTATTGTTTACAGGAATGTGAATACGACAGCGTTACTGTTCACTCAAGACTCGGAGCAGATGTGCTGAGGCGTCACGGAGTGTTCTGCGGGTCAGCTCTACCACCACCGGTCACGTCTGATGGATCTGTCCTTCGTGTTCAAGTGAGTTGACTAATATTAGGCATCTTCATTTTATGTGTTGGGTTACTTTCTTGTTAAAAATAACAATTGAGTAACCCAACGCCTCGTAATTTCATGCATCTAGGCTTATCCGGCTGCATCCAGAATGTCACTCTACATATGTCTTCAGTTGCCTGTTCACATTTTCGGAAACCCTGTCTGTTCGTAACAGTCTTCTTCACAAAGTCACAAATTAATTGGAGGGACAATATATACCTACTCTTCTATAATAAGGTTCCGAAACTACAGCGAAACAAAATCTTTACACTAAGGTTATTGTAGGTATACGCTTCTGCATAAGGTACTTGGATGACAAAGATCCATAATAGTGACCCGTTTAGCTCTTGCAAGTCTCGATCTATGATATTTGAAATCATCTTAATTTTCAGCCCTATATTACCCACTGCTGGGTATCTGGGTATAAGCTTCCTTTCGCCCTTACCAAACTTTCCGATCCTGTGCGTCTCTGGTCCAAGTTCCTCGCAACTTTTCCTGTATCGTCGACTCAGCGTGCCACTGGACGACCCGGATTTCATAAGCCTTGATATTTGAAATAATTATGGTAAATGATAAAAGTGTATATAAATGTTTGTTTACAAACACCAACCCCTAAAGTTTTTCTTATTCTTCTCAGGGCAGTGTAGTACAGTTTAATGAATGTGACTATTTCAAGTGTAATTTGCTTAGGACTTATGATCCTTCTGTTAGAGATGCATCGTATGTTCCTTTGGTATTTTTCTTCGTTTTTATAATACAATTGTCTTGTAACGTATTATTGTCATAATTTCAGTTCACGTCAGACCCCTCAGTCCACCGCACAGGCTTTGGAGCAGTATACTACATAGACGTGGATGAATGTGCAGAAAACAACGGAGGCTGCCAGCACGAATGCCATAACACCCTTGGAGGATATGAGTGTGCCTGCCATAGTGGCTTTACTTTGCATCAGAATAAACATGACTGTAAAGAAGGTGGTTGCAAACATGATGTAACACAACCTCATGGAACTATAGTCAGGTAAATGTGACTTATTGTCATGCTTGAAAATTCCTGAACACAATTGTTCTTAACGTAATTCCATGAAACAGGACCAAAAGAAAGAACAAGTTTCATTATGAAAGTGCAAAAGGTATAATATTACACATGTTTATTTACTTTTTTCACCCGCGCCCGCCACGGTTGCGGAACCGCGGTTTCCGTAGAATGTAATGTATCGTCGACTAAATTCGTAAACCTCGTAACTTCTTCTTCTCTTCTAACTGTTGATTAGGCGCAAAAAACAGAATTACTTGTAATAATTATAGCATTGTACCTTTAATTTATAAGTAAAAAAGGTCTAGAAATTATATTTTACACTTTTATTGCCCGATATTGCGCTTAAAGAGTAAAAAAGAAATTTCATGCAAAAACGGAGTTACGAGGTTCTACCGTAAATAACCTCGCGACTTGCGACCGTCTCCCGTCAAGTTTGCGGCCCGTTTCGCAACAGCGCCAGCGGCAGCTACGTGACCGCACAAACCTGCGGTGTCATGAACGTTGAAATAAAACAGCTGTCCCGCAGCCGCGGCGGCCGCGAATGAAAGCCGCTCCGTGAGTTCTTGGCATTAACGTCTTAAAAAAATATAATCATTCTGCGTTAAACCAAATGTATATATTCTATATATATTTTTCAAACAAAGAATAGGAGTCAACCAAATCATATTTCCCTAATGTACGTACATTATCGAGCATCAAAAGGAAATGAAAAACAAACATTTTCTCTCCACAGTCCGAACTATCCCAACATGTATCCAGCGCGAAAAGACTGCGTGTGGCAATTCTCTACCACTCCGGGACATCGCATTAAATTGATCTTCAACGTTTTTGAGCTGGAACCTCATCAGGTAACTTCTTAATTTTTATACATGTACGTAGCTATGCTGTTACGTTAACTCAAGGCATGGGTCAATACTTTAAGATAACTGATGACTAATCTCCATACTATATAGATCGTAAATCATAACTATGAAAAAGATCAATATTCAAAACAACATGTCAGTTTTTTTTTCTTGTAATATATTCAAATATTGATTATGAACACTGAGCTTACCAACAAAATCATGAGCTATAATTATTTTCTGAACTTTGATAAATATGCGTAACAATAGACGGCATTGTGTGTTCCAAACTATAATGATTTATAAATTAACGCTTCCCAATATGGACAGATGGCGCTAATCCTAAACGAAATAAAAGGATAGCAGGCACTATCCATAAAAATCTGTGGAAATGGCGCTTAGCATCTAGTTGATTTGTATGTTGTCACTAGAAATTAGAGTAGCTTTGATAAGTTATGGCTTGTCAATGTAAAAACAAATTAGTTAAAAAAATAGCTATTTGGTACTCATCGCGACATCTGCTGTACCAATAGGTACTAAATATGGGACTACGCTCTCTTGTATCGCGATTAGCAGTCCTCTAGAGTTATTGGTCCATGGTATATAAGTAATTAAGAACTTTGTGCAGAAAGAGACTGAATATATAAAGAAAATTTATCACTTTGTGTAGATATTACTGTGAAAGAGTTCGTCGGAAGTACTACCACCTCACCTATTTCTGCCACCAAGCAGTAATGTGACCATTACTGCTTTTCTGTTTTGAAGGCTGCTGGTCAAATTACAGGGACATGAGACTTTTCAACTTACGTCTCAAGGAAGTGTCGCCGTGGAACTGCTATGGACAGGGGTGTCGCTTACCACCAGGCGTACGACTTGTTCAGCCCGTCACTTGGTATTTTAAAGAAAAACATTTACGTTAACGTCAAGTAGAGTGTAAATCCCTCCACAAGTCCAAGTCCCAGTCTAAGGTGTTTCGCCTTATTACAAAATATTTTTTTTGTTAATCTGATTATTTTGACACACAGGAATGTGCTTACGACCACGTGACGATCTACGACGGAGCGTCAGCAGAAGACAAGACCCTAGGCCGGTTCTGCGGCAACAAACTGCCCCATCCTGTGGCAGCCAACACCAATCAGATGTACGTCGTCTTCAAGAGTGATGCTTCTGTACAGAGGAAGGGATTCTTGGCCACTCATTCTACAGGTAAGTATCAAGCTTTTTTTAGTAATACAGATAAGGGCCTAAAATTATCATGTAGGTACAATTATCTGCCTGATAAATATATTCAGAACAAGTATACTGAGACGACAAAGACAACAATAAGTACTTAACATGGGGAAGTTTCGACTAGATGTGATTCACGTTAAATATTTGAGTATTTGAAACTAACCTTAAATGTAAGTACCTACAGGTATCTTGCTCCTAACTTAAGTCGCAGAAAATTTACTTATAAATGTTTGACGTATTTTACCTACTTATGAATAGTAAGTGCCGGTTGTGATCCAAAATTAGATGTTACGATTAACAATTAATTTTGATATTTTCTGTGTTACAATTCTCAGTGACAAAGAAAATATCAAAATCGAAAAAACATGGTGGAGTCGTAAACGACTTTTGTGTAGGTAGTCTCAAAATTTCGCAATAAACGGTCGATTCTTAACACACGATGTGCAACGAGTGGTTGAAGGAAGTAAAAAGTTAACATAAATTAAAACATAAATAAACAACCTTCAAGAAAAAGTTACAAATTAAGATCCGAAGTTCCGAAGGATGAATTAATTTTATTATTAGATTAAATTCCTCGACAGCACCTCGTTATGTGTAAAGAGTTGTAGATTATGTTTTGAATACGATCGATAAAAACTGATCGCGATGTAATAGACTTTAAAATCTTTCGACCTAGCATCTGTATTGATATCAGAGGATAAGATTTTTTGGACCAATAAACTTTAGTGATATTTTCTGTAGATAAGAAGTATCTATGTGACGTTATTTAAAAATCGAGAAAGTGAACGATAGCGTACGAAAATTGTTCGTCTAAAATCTTACCAAATATGAGCATGCTTATAAAAATAGCATCTTAGTTAAAAAAAATCTAAAGCATACATTGAATTCCGTCCGAATACTGTCTTTGATTTGGAGTAGACTCCCGGTTTTTTTGAATCTCCCGCATAATTTATAGCCATATTGCTAATTTTGCATATCTATACTGAGAAGCAAATAATGAGCCACTGATGGTTTTCTGCTACGTTGCATATCTCTTGATAGAAACAACAATGGCAGCTCGGTTTATTTGTTCCCGTATGACAGTTCGAAGAAGAGATAACTTTTGTCTTCGGGCTCATGCTAAGCCTGCTGGAATGTCAATAATTAAAAACTTGATAAAGTGTAGGTATATTCAATTACAAGCACTTGCATCTTATTAAGTTTTAGATAGGGGTTATGACACTTAATTATTTTATTTCATTTTGCACTAGCATGCGGAGGCTATCTAGCAGCTACTGACACAGTAAAACACCTGTATTCACACGCACGATATGGGACTGATTCCTACGAGTCGAGAGCGGACTGTGATTGGAGTATCGTGGCACCTGTGGGGCATTTTGTTCGCCTCACCTTCTTGACCTTCGAGTTGGAGCCTGAGACTAAATGCGATTATGACTTCGTGCAAGTTTTCGGTGGTTTGGAACGTAGTGGCGGTGATTATGGAAAGTTCTGTGGTACAAAGGTACGTTTTGCTTTACCTACCACACGAAAGATAATTCTAATGTGATCACTGATCACGTAACTGTCTACTAACTGTAAAAATTGAACAATAAAATATTATTTATTCATTTTACAGATGCCTCCAGAAATAGTTTCAACGTCTGAGGCACTCATTGTACGATTCCGTACAGATGACTCCATTGTCTTCAAAGGATTCTCAGCATCGTACCAAGCCGTCAAGCCTGACGTATGGAGTGGAGAAGACAGTTCATCTGAAGGTGGAGAAGAAGAAGAAGAGGAAGAAGATGAACGTATGTCCCCTTTAGTGGTTGGCAGGAGGGGACCTCTTCCTCTGTTCGTCCATAGACCAACGTGACGGTGGCCGCTACCCCGCCACCCTCGCCACAGACGACCCCACGCTAATAACCGACACAAATAAATATTAGGCGAAATTCAGCTCCGGTTTCTTCAGTGTTGCCATTAGAGTGACATATCTTTTTGTAGTGCCATAGAATAACATAAATGTTTATTATTAATACTCTTTCAGCCAAAGGAACAAATTGCATTGCAATGCATTTAATAACTGTGTTATAGGAATGTGCGATTGAAATGAAATGTCAAGACGTCATGATTAATAGATATCTATCATGTTATTTTTAGGATTGAATGAAAGTGTAAATATAGGTACTAGTCTAGTTTAGATTTTAAAATACTTAAATGTAGTAGTTACCACGAAAATACTCAAAACGTGTAATTTAGTTACATGGTCTATAAATTTATAATCATGTTTATTTAATTTTTTATTGCCATTTTACCAAAGATAGTTTCTGTTGATAAAAGTGCCATAATTAGGTACTAAATAGATAAGTAGCAGTTCGTATATAAACAAAGAATGCAATGCAGTACATCAACCCGTAATTTTTTAATAATAATCTAGACCTATTATTAAGCCGTTATCTCAGTGTACTTAATGTTTCTCTTAGCCATTATGATAATATCTCTAATATCTACTGTTGGAACACTGTCTTAAAACAATCATACAGAAGTAGATTCTTTTGGTCAAAGCATAATTTAGTTATACCTACCTAAATAAGATACTGAGACAATATTTAAATATAAGACTTATGTATCTCATTAATATTAAGTCTTAAAATTCGCATTATATTTAAAACTTAACTTTTGTGGATCTATCTCACATTTATAATAATATTTTTGTCTATAAAAATCAATCACATGACGTGTTCATTCTGTAATAAAAATTACTTAATGTTATGTTATAGATTAACTTATTTGAATACTCTACCAGAACAATTTTTATTTTTGATCCTTCATTACTTTTAGTATAAATGTATGATGTACTATATAAGTGACTCACGTAATAAAGCGTGCCAAAAAAATATTATCAATCAAAATTGTATTATAGGTAATTAAATTAGTGTTTTGTAAAATAGCCATGGAAACATTTATATGTAGAAATGACGTTATCATCATTTTTTTAAATAAAATATTGTGAAAAGCCATTATATTGTTTATTTATTTTTTAATTAATCATATATGACCTCAAATATCATAAATGACGACATTTAGCAATGTTGAAAAAAATATTTAAATTCATTAATAAAATTATTTGTATGAAACCTTTCGTAAGGTTTAACTTAAACTTAAATTAGCAGAAAAATGGTTACAAATACGTTACTAGTTTTCCGAAAAATTTCAAATAATAGTGGAAATTTTAAATACCGTTGTACGCGGATAGATTCCAAAGCAAAGAATCAAATACATATGAGAAGACCTAAATGTGGAAAATATGAAAGAGTGATCCTGCAAAAACTATAATATACAGGGTGTCCCAAAACTCAACGTCAAGTGGTCACTGGGCGAGAGGCCAGGTTATATCAGTTCTGGTAAAAATTAAAAAAAAATCCATGTCACTTAATTAGGTAGGAGGTGCTTGAAGGAATGTCATAGAGATTAATAGTGGTCAACTGCCTGGGTTAAAAAAACAAGATGGTGAATTCAAAATGGCGGCCGAAGAAAAACTTGCTTCGATCCGGCTAAAAATTGGTATGCGGTCTTTAAGAGTCCTTAACCACAATTTGGGGTCAAAAGTTTCTTTTCGCCATTTTTTAATATGGCTGTCATATAAGCGTTTTTTTCGTCAAAAGTGGCTGCCGAAACGGACTTACTCTGATTCGGCTGAAAATTGGCACGCGGAGGCCTCTAGAAGTGCCGGATAATAATTTGTGGTGAAAATTGGTTTTTCGCCATTTTCAAATATGGCCGCCATAGCAGCATTCGTTGGCAGCAGAAAAAAAAATGCTCTGATCCCTTTGAAAATTGGCATGTGTGGGTTTCTAGGAGTGCTTGATAATAAATTATGATCAAAAATAGTTTTACGCCATTTTTTAGTACGGCCGCCATTCAACAACTAATAAAAATTGGCTCTAATTTAACTGGAAATCAATATGTGGAGATTTCTATAGGTGTTTGATAATAATTTGCGGTCGAAGTTTATTTTTCGCCTTTTTTCAATATGGCTGCCATACAAACTTTTTAGCGCCAGATAAAAATTTGCTGTAATTTGATTGAAAGTGGACATGTCTGTGTGACTCTATGAGTGTTTAATAATAATTAGGGGTCAAAAATTATTTTTCACCACTTTTCAATATGGCTGCCATACAAACTTTTTTGGGGGTAGATAAAAATTTCTTCTAATTCGACTGAAAATGGCTTCAATCACAATTTGGGGTAAAAATTTTGTTTCTGCCGTTTTTCGATATAGCCGTAATTTTTTATGTAAATGGCTATTGAAAAAACTTGCTTTGCTCGGACTGAAAATTGGCACGAAAAGATTTCTAAGATTGTTTGATAATAAGTAGTGGTCAAAATATATTTTTGCAATTTTTAAATATGGTCACCATTAAAGAGCTATTTCAATTTTTTTGAAACAAAGCCATAAGTGCCGAAGCCAGAGGCCGAGGTGCGCGGAGGGCGAAGCCCGAAGCGTCCGCACGTCATCAAATGGAGATAATATACGGAGACGTAATAGATTACGTGTATAAGATCTCACAATTGTAAAAATATAAAGCATGCTTCCCGATGTAGTGGAAATGAGATACTTATTATAGCGTTGTTGTATCTCAACCGTCTCTATGTTAGATTTCATTTTCTTGAAAGCTATGCTAAAGAGAAGTATTTAGGGGGAATAAATGCCAAACTACTGCCGAATTTCCCGTACTATGTAGGTACTATGAATACCAAATCAACGACAACCCAGAATACTCAGACCAAAACCAACTTAGAAATGTTCGTTTCTTAAATTGGCATAAATCGGGAATCGACCTCCTCATCAAGCGCCCATAGCCAACTGCTGTGCCGCCGAAGAACATGAGCACACCCCATAAACTGTAACCGACCACGCGCCGCAGGCAGAGCCCGATGCCACCGTCGGCCTGCTGCGTATAATATATATATTCACTTCATATATATATATATATATATATATGAATTTTTATTTAGCATGAAGTAATTATAAATTTTAATTATAAAATAATTAGTTTTTTTTTTTTTTTTTTTATTGCGACTCGACAAAATGACTGCACCGCGCCTGATGGAAAGTGCGAATACAGTCCAGAGATGAGAGTAACGGATGGAAAACACAAATATCTTCACTCCGTCACTATCATTTTGCCGGTCTGGCCAAATGCACTGGATGTACACCAACTGATCCCTGAACGCGATTCGCAAAAGCGTTTCACTGTGGAGGGTTTTCCGCCGTGTGTACTGTGGTCGCTATCCAGTCGGCACAGAGCCTACCACAATGCTAAGCAGATGGACACTTGTGACGCCCTCGGTCGCCTCTTACGACCCCCACGGGCATGTATGGGGAGGCGACAATGTATTCTTAAGCCGTCGCCCCACGGCTAAAATAAACTTGTATAGCTACAAGCCATATAAAGTAAAACGAGATTTAAAATGTTCTGTGATTTAAAAATTCACACCACCACCACCTCTTGTTGACTCCATCGGTTTCGTTCAGTAACTTCAACTTTTGACAGGTGTCAACGTCAAATGTGAAAAAATAAAGGAAAACATTGGAAAAATATCCGGAAATTTTATTTATTTTTCAGAAACATAATAAATGATATTTTCAAAATGGAAATTCTTCTATAACCCAACACTGGTTACAACACAGTATTCAGGTTGGTTACATATCGAATTGAAAAAAAAAAAGAGCTGGCTTTTGAAGTTACAAGTACAATTTTTACAAAGATTAATTTTATTTGAAGTATATTATGAAGTGAAGTACGAAGAAATAGTGATGAAGAAAGATAAAACTACATGCCTTATTTTAAACCATTTAGAAAAGTCCACCAATTACGAATTCAAAGTTTTGTTCAAATAGAATTAAAATGTGATTTAAATGAAAGTTAAAACATGAATATTGACTACCGCCGCTTAAAAGACTATTTAAAAAACCCATACATGTGAACTAAGTTATTTATGGAAAATATTTATTGAAGATCCTCTAAGGGTCGTATTCTAGAACTCTACTCAATGCTCAAGTCAGGATTTGAGTATGGTTTAAAGCACTCGAAATCATACTCAAGTCCCTTCCATTAGGGTCGTATTTCCAGTGCTTGTGTTTCCATTGCAATCCTGACTTGAGCATTGAGTAGAGTTCTAGAATACGACCCTAAGTAAACGAAGTCACGGCTCAAAAGATTTGTATCCAAGCCAAAACTCTTAAAAAAAGGTTGATTCTTTATTTTCTATGGTGACATCGTAATTAAACTGTCAAATTCAAAGTGACATTAGCATGACATTTTAATAAGTCAAAGCCCTCGGAACATATTATTTATTTCTTTTGTGGCGTCTTTTTGACCCGAAAATTATAGAAATTCACCGAAGAAAACCGTTTAATTCTTAAAAAATTGTTTCGTTAATTATTTTCTTTAGAAAATGGCTGCGCTAGCGTTTAAGGTGAAAAGCAAGAACGGTCAGCAAGTATTGAAAGACTTGACCTCTGAGAGTACTGTGGGTGAATTGAAAGCTTTTCTGTGTAGTATTTCGGATGTGGGGTTTGATAAAATCCATGTGTTGTGCGGTTATCCTCCAAAACCTCTGGACATTAGTGACGATGATATGAAACTGACGGATATTGGTTTAAAAACTGGGGAAACTCTTATAGTGGAAGAAAAAGTTCTTGCTGCAAATGTAAGCAGGCCTGAAGAGAAGAAACCACTCGAGAATGGCATAGCTTCCCATGAAACTTTGGGTCCGTGCAGACCTGGTATTCTCATGAAGAAAGTGGTCCCCTCTGACAATTCCTGCCTCTTTACAAGTATAGGTACGTCTTTGTTTTATTTATATCATCATTAATTTTGCTTTATTATGTGTGATAAAGCCAATTACTGATGTAATATAATGATGACCTTATGTTATTCTAATGTTTGCTTAGTGTGTAACAACACCATGCCAAATTAATATCAAAGATATTCATTTAAATTGATTTCTTATAAGTTACATACTATATCTTCTGTTTGTACAATTTAACTTTTAGAATTAGTAACAGTACTGGTATTGTAACTCATTGTTTTTTGTTTTTGTAAAATTCTTCATAAAGCATTTGTTATAAATTATGACTACAAATAATTTATAAAACTCTTTTTAAAATTGAAGGTTTTGTGTTAAATGGCAATGTGGACACTACAGTGCACACACTAATGAGACAGATCATAGCGATGGAGGTAGCAAGTGACCATGAGACATACAACGAAGGCATGCTAGGCAGGCCAAATGCTGAGTACTGTGCTTGGATACAACAACCAAGCTCTTGGGGAGGTGCGATAGAGGTAAATGATATAAAAAAAAATTCACTTCATTAAGTTCTTTAAAACAGTTTAGATTAGGGTTTCTTAACCTTTTCTAGTCGTGGATCCTCTCAAAATGTTGAGGAGCGCATGAACACTCTATGAAACAAAAAAACTATGTTTAAACAAAATCTTTTTTTTGTACTATAGACTCTATATTATATCTATATATTATATCTCTTAAGAGATCTTAGTACCTTTTGGCATAGGCCTCCTCCAGATCTTTCCTGGGAGTCTATTGAGAGTCTACTCTTCTCCAATAGGGATCCAATAGAGAAAAACCTCAGCTCATCTTTCAATGTTTGATGCTGACGCCTCCTACTACTTTTATTTATTAAATGTGAAATTTTCACACTTTGACTTCAATGTTTTCACTGTTAATGTTTTAATTTACAGGTGGCAATACTTTCCCGTTTTTATGGACTTGAAATGGCAGTAGTGGACACTCTGAACGCAATCATAAACAGATTTGGAGAAGACAAAAACTATGGCCAAAGGGTTTTCTTACTTTTTGATGGCGTCCATTACGATCCTTTGTACTTGGAGCAATCCGATGTAAGAAACTTTGTACAAAATAATCTGAAAAGTACCTTTGCATTATATTATTGGAAAATTACTATTGTTATTATAGAGTTTTATAATACAAAAACAGTCATAGTGCCATAAAACCTTGCTGACTATAATGACCAATTTGTAGCTATAGCTTTTCATACCCATTAGTTTGATTGTGTACATTTTACTTAAAACAACAACATCTTATGACCTATAAAGGTCAATAAGGAACCTCCACTCTATTATCCATGTCCACTATAAGTCTATTTCTTCATTTTATTATGCAAGTAAATTTATAAAAGTTGTATAATTGTAGGTAGACTAAAAATCTGATATAAATAAAATTATGTGCAACTTTTGCTGTTAATTCCTATAAGATTTTACACCATTGTGAAATGATGATCTAATCATCATAAATCATGATCTTACATGTTCAGTAGAATTACCTAACCCCATGAGTAATCTGTATAATGATAAACACTTATTTTTTGTGCTCATGTTTATTATGATACTTATATAAATCATTTTTTGTGCTCAAAATTTATTGATTTATAGGCTGTATTTGTATTTATTTCTAAAAAAGTGGCTTTTGTAATAATTTTTAACATGGGTTATCTTTTTGTCAGTCAAGCAATTTAAATCTAAAAAATTAAGTCTTGCAATAATAATGGTATTTGGAAATCAGTCTTATCAATAGGTCGAAAGGTACATATTAGCTAATTCAAGTTTACATGTTCATATTCATTATTCCAGGGTGGAATCCAAACAATATTTCCTTCAGAAGACATGGATATCTATCAAGAAGCAGAACAATTAGCGAAAGAAGCTAAATCCTCCCGTCAATTCACAGACCTAAATAAATTTACACTCAAGTGTATGATATGCGATAAGTTCCTAACTGGTCAAGTCGAGGCCCAAAGACACGCGAAGGAGACAATGCATACGAATTTTGGCGAAGTTTAGCATTAGTAACAATTTAGGTGGGTTTTAAACATTGTAAGTTCATTCATAATTATCTTTATTTTTGTGATGGGTTGTGTCTACTTATAAATGTGAGAATTGCAATAGGTAATTGTCTTGGAGCCTGGTTGTGATTGGTTGCTATGAATCTCCTATGATATTGAAGCAATATGATTGGTTTTTTACAATTTTCTTTAACTTCTAGGGGTAGGTAGTATGACGATAGTATGCATGCTAATTGCATAATTCAAATGACAGCGCGATGGCGTTTTGGTAGTCTCTCTTTCCATGGAAACTGTGGTATAAGTGGGAATTTGTCAAATATAAAAATATTACAATATGTTATAATATAAAAACAACAGTTGAAAACGGCAACACTGAGCCGGACAGACAGCTACCACCATGCTGTCTTTCGCATAATAATATTTATTTATTTATACATTTCTAAAACATTGTGAACCATCAATCACTTGCATGGGGACCATTAGTTTTCAATACAATAGTAACCAACTTGTTTTAGTTTCGGTGATATTTTATGTAATTGATAAATTCAATTCATTTAGAAACTAAATTAATTACATAATTATGTAACGTAGGCTTCGTCAGGAAGACACAAACCAACCAACTTAATATTTTATTTTAATAGGTGACTTTATTTAATGTTTTGACGGTTTTTTTTTCAAAACCCTATAATTTTATATCGCTTATGTTTATGCGCTGTATAACATATATATACATATGACATAAAAATATACAGTTAAATACAATAAACAGTTAAATTAATACAATAATTATATTTCATTGTCACTGAATTCCTTTTCTACATTGTCTTCTTTTTATTGATCCTTATAATTCTGTAGAAATACATTTTGCTTACCTCATTATTGTACAATGTTATACCTACCTATGTACTAATCTCACATGCTATAAAATTGAGCAGCAAATTTCCTTGACCTTGACCTTATAAATGTATGTATATACGTATATGCAGATGACGCTTTTTATTGTATGCAAAGCTAACAAGTCTGGCATTTTATTGTCATCATCACACATAGGCGGCCAACTTATCTGTAAAACGAGCAATGACACATAGTAGTTTTTATGCATTGTTGCTTGTTATCAAAGTTACTTGAAGTTCAATAACGTTTTATTGCCACATTACAGATAACAGCGATACCTTCAATTAAAACTACGCCAACTTAATTTTTTGGGCATTTTCTGTTATTTTTGTAAACAGCCATATTTATCTACTAATATTATGCTCCCCGAATTTTGTGATAAAAAAATAAAGCGATAAAAAACAAAATAAGGTTGGCGTAGTGTTCATTGGAGGTATCGACATCATTGACTTACAATTATATGGACGTCGGGTCCGCGCTAAAAAGTGTCCGCACTTGTAAGGCGCTAAAATCGTATACAGAGCGCCAAACTCCGCTTTAGTCTTCATTTGTTCGACTGACAGCGCGATACTGCGATGACATTACAATTTATATTTCGAATAGGTTGACTTGGGACATTTTTTTCGTGGTTTTTGTATTAGACCCGTCGTCCATTTATTTGTAAGTCAATGATCGACATGATCAATCTTATTATGTGATTGTTGTACACACACCAGCATATCTTGTTCCGTTGCACTGGAGGCGACTTTCGAACAAAAAGGTGTAGTCTGATGTGCCGTTGTCCGTACATCGGAAAACTAGGTACTTTGTTGTTGAGTTTAAACGGCGGCGGCGTGGAGTTGTCAAAATACCGAAATATTATTGTTGCCAAAACACTGCTCTTCGCTTTGTTTTAACTAAAAAAATTGTATCCGAGTATGAGGTGGTACAGACGTCGTATTGAAGCGTATTTGTTGAAGTTACCTAACCTACTACTTGTCTCTATTCCATTACCTTACTCAGAGTAATAAAGTAAAAAAGTAATGTGATGTTGCTTCCATTTTGGATAGTATTTATTCATTTATACCTCCTACTTTCACAATTGGGTCGACACAATTCATCCTAAAATGTAGCATCTTTTTTGTTAAGTATTTAATTTTTACTTTAATAACTATTTGTCACTTTTAGGGTTCTTTTCATAATTGTCATGTTAGTGTACATTGAATGAATTGATTATAACTTATTGTATAGTATAATTTTGATATAGTTTTAGAACAATTTGACAGGAGCCCTTATTGTTTCGTGTGGATCTAGCCTTGCGTTTGCACTGCCATTTATTCTTTTATTGTTATACAAATTACGCTCATTGACATTAGATGCTCAATAAGAACTCACAAAATGTATAGAAATTGTCAAATCGCGCTAGAATAGAATTGAAAAGAGATATATATTTTGCTCTGTTAACTGAGATATATTTAGGGCAATATTGCTTAAAAGATATCACTTTGTGTAAATAAATGCGAATATAGATATTTGCTGAGAGAGAGCACTTACTGTATTTTTTGTACTATGTCCGAAATTTTGTTTTGAATGTTAAATAAATAGTTGTCGTTTGTTTTTAATTGTGATTTCTTAAAGATTGTTTTCTTAATAAGATTTTTTTTCTCGAATATCTAAAGCACTGAAATTGAAAGCAATAAAAGAAACATTTTATAATATTTGACTATAGATGAACAAACTCACATTTTGAGCATTAAACCGTCACTTTTAATATTTTTATTTATGAATTGATTTTTGTCAAAATGTGGGTTGGTTACACTATGGAATCGAAAAACAACGTTCACCAAACATATGCCTTAATTTTGAAATAAAAATACCTCATGAAGATAAGTGTTGTTTTTTTATAACTTAAATTATTCATTTGTCTTCTTCTGTCAATTTGTATGGCTATTCATTTAAAATAATAATAATGTGCCTTGACAACCCCAGTGATCTCGGCTGCCCCAAAGCAAAACTTAGTAAGGGACAATTTTTTCGAAAATAATTTTATAACGGAATCCTACTCCCTGAATTACCATGGCAGTGACAGCCACTTCAAAATCCTACATTTTACTAGAGATTTAGAAACCTTAAAACCTAGAAAGACTAGATATAAGCGCCGATAATAGACCAAACCGCGACGGCGAAAAAGTGTCGGCGGCCCGGGCGCGACCCTAATACGAATTTGTATAACGGTGTTTGTTTTTACAAAAACCGTGATACAAATACTTTTTCAAAGGAAAAAATAAAATAACGTATTTTTTATAGTAATCAAATTTTTATCAGTTAGATCAGGCGCTCCGATCGTAAATACGCACGCACACGCTTCGTGTACGCTTTGTGTATGCGTAGTGAAAATGGCAGCGCCAGAAATTAACAAATTAACTTTTTAAACAAAACATCTTTAAATATGAAGTCACTAACTAACTTTTGTCGCCCATCTATGTCATCTCTGCTGAAGCCGGACGGCACGCTGGCCTATACTGCAGAAGACACGGCAAATCTTTTTGCCTCACTCTTTGCAAATAGTTCGCGTCTGGATCTCATCTTACCTAAGTCTGGCTGCACTATGGCGCCAATTCGCATACGCCAAAAAGAGGTACTTAGAACTCTGCGGAATCTGGACGTGGATAAAGCTCGCGGGCCTGATGGATTTCTAGCACTAGTCCTACGTAACTGTGCGCCTGAGTTGTCTCCTGTTCTCACACGCCTACGCCTGTACCGCCTGACACTTGAGACTGCTGTAGTTCCCAGGTCGTGGAAGCTTGCAAACGTGCAACCTGGGCCGAAAAAGGGAAGCAGAGCTGACTCTTCGAATAAAATAGCCCTGTGTAAGTGCAACTGCCTCAGTGGCCGAACGGTTACCATGCCGGACTGCCACGCAGAGGTCCCAGGTTCGATTCCCGGGCAGGGAGAAATATTTGTATGGCCTACTTTTATTTCTCTCGTGAGTTTGGGTGTAATTTGTGGTTGTCTATGTGTGTGTCCATAGCACCCGCGACACAGGGTCTCCCTAGTGCGGGGCTATGTTGAGTGTGAGTGTTATTATTACTGTAACAAACTACGATAAAGATTTTGTTCATACTTTTGCTAGAAAATGAAAACTATAATTTTTTTAACAAATATATAATTACAACTAAATTCTTTGTTAATATTGCGTTATGATGGTTACCTACCCTCTCGGTTTTATACATTAGCGATCTCACCAGGCTAGTTCGCCTCGAAGTAATTGTTGAACGCCTGCCCTTTATATTATGGCAATAAAGCAGTAAAATTTTCAATCGGTTATATTTTTTTAACTAATTTAGATATGAAGCGTATACCTTTAATTCGTGAAGGTAGCAAATAGGTAGCAATTATTGGTAATACATAGTTCTGGAAAATCTGCTCACATCATGCTGAACAAAGAGGCGACCAGCCATCCTGACGTCCGAATAGCTGGTCAAAAATTGTTTTTAAATTTCTCAGAATATATCATAGGTAGCAATTATTTAGAAAACGTAGCAAATAGGTAGCAATTCTTGAATATACACTCAGTGCCAGACGTCATACGACACGTGGAAGCACTGGAATCAAGTTCATATGGGTTCGAGAGGCCCGATTTATAATATAATGTAAATGTTTCAATTTAATTTAATTTATAGTTTGATTTTATTGATTTTCGGAGGTGATTCAATTGTATGTTATAATAATTTTCATTACTAACATAGGATATAAGTGTAGATATTTGTAATTAACATCTATGGACATGGTCTGAAATAAACAATTTGAATTATAACTTGAAACTTTTCAAGACGAAAGTGAATAGGAATTATTTAGATGTGCATGCTCCATTGTCGACCTTATCGTCACTTTCCAACACTGCAGAAGGCTACGCGAAGTGTATTTCGTAAGACTAATCTGTTTATAGAAGAAAATGGGACACACTTCGAGCACATAATAAATAATTTATTAACATGTAAGAAAATTATAATCCTGTATATTAAGGGACAATAACTTTAGTGATACTGAAAATCTTAGTCCTTTTATTAATTTAATTAGTACAACAAAATCAAATTTTATTCCAAATTTTCTTCTGCATTAACTAAACCAAATACCTACCTAACAAATGCTCATACCGTGTTCTGGCTGCTACAGTAACTTTACTATGTATGTACATTTTTTTTTAAGGATATTTTGCAGTTGGCCGCTGATGGCCTTAACTGCGCCACCGAAGAAAAGGGCGAGCTGAAGGCTCATAACCCCTACTGTATGTACACATAAGTCATCGAGTATATAACCAGAAATAAAGACGAAATGTCATTTAATTTGTTTGAAAACTATTCTGCCATATCATTACCGTGACAACTGCGCTCCGATTGGCTAGCCCGAGTTCGAAACAATTGGCGGGTGTCGTCAACTGTTTCACTTCAAATCGATCAGTTAACTTGAGCTTTGCTATAATTTCAAAATTACATATTTAATATTTAATTACCGATGAAATGTGATTCCGATTGTTTTGTAATTAGATGTTTTGCTGTTTTTCCCACACCACTGAATAGAACAGCACGGCATTGTTAGATATTATCTTTATTACAATAAATACAGAATTTTTTTAGAATATACGGAGACGTACAGTGGTTGGCCTGTCTATATTTCAGTGCAAACGAGTTTTGATATTTATAAGAGCTGTATCGCTAATGTGTTACCAGGAATATATGGTCCTTATTTCGTCTCTATTTCTGGTTATATACTCGACGACATAAGCATTTAGTTAGTAAAGGATATAAATATGTAAATATATAAATTATAATCATTTTGTGACATCAATATATTCGTTGAGTGGTACCCTACCTAACACTTATACATTAAAAACAAATTGTTTCAGGGCAACCTTGATTTGCTTTTCGGTTCTCCTGTAAAATTTTTTCTAAAGCACTTACTAGACTTTGTGCTCTAGGGCAGGCGACTTGGTCTCTGGGGGGATTGGAATTGGGGAGTTCTCACCAGTATGAGTACCGATATTCACTCCAGGGTACTAACTAGAACATCCAGACCATAACAATTTAGAAAAATTGTTCCAGTTGGGAATCGATCTTGGGAACCCCACACAGCGTCTATAAGGCAAACCGTTGGGCCACCAAGGTTGTCAAAATAAAAGTAACATAAAAAAAAACAAAAATAAAAGAAAACAAAAACAATCTAGTAAGGTTTTATTAAATTTATTTATAACACAAAAATGTACAATATCAATAAAATATAATAGGTCATATCGGTTCTCTATCACTTTTGTTATCCTATAAGTTTATTAAACACTGTTGTTACACAACATTTTTCACTTACAATAATTTCTGTTTAAAAGTGTGCATTTGGGCCATCCATAGTATTGATTTAACCATTTTTATAAGAGCCGGCGAATTTCGTACAAAACAAACCTTCCCTATAGCCGCATGCAAAGTACTTTTATTTTCGAGGTTCTTACAATTATGTGAAAAGTATTTTTCATATATAATTACGGTTGAAGTTCTTATAAACAATGACGTGACGTGTTTTTCTATGAAATAATGCGCAGTAAATGCGTTATTGGAATTAGGTAGAGGTGGTAAACATATGCGAATAGGCAGATTATAGTAACTTCATTAAATAAACAAGACGTTAAGGTAGCTGGTATTAGTAGTAATATAGTAGAACTAAGATTAACAAAATTGTTTTAATTTGCCATTGCCATTTAAAAGCTTACAAATAGCGAAATAACATGGCTTTTTAAAAACGTTTTTCAAACAACAATAAAACTATTGATATTCATTTTATTTTTCTTAAAATGTTTCTATTTACATAAGTATCTGTGCGCCGTAACATATATTATGTATATTCTAATGTGGAAGAACATTGAAGAAGCTAGCGTTATTTCTATATGTGCTGGACAACCTTTGTAGTAAAGTCTTACAATAATAACACTGCGGACGTCACGGAAGTTCTATAAAGATCAACGTGTAGCTTATTTTGTTACCTATAAGAAAAAATTCGAGAGCTTGCACAAGGTTCACACAAACACAAAGGTTCACAAGGAACAAGCTCACTTCGTAAAAAAAGAATTAGAATGCGGTAAGTACTCTGTGACATATATACACACACACATTTATATATATATGTATATATATATATATATATAACCAATTTCGAAGCTACAACATTGACACCAATAAGCGGTTTTTGCTAACAAATCGCTTGTTAACTATGGACGTGCCCAGTCTATTCTATATTAGATAAAATAGTGAAGAGACCACAATGGTCATATGTAAGATAGAATAATAATAAAATAATTTCTATCTTTTTACAAAACGTTTAGTAATCTGCATCAGGTAGCTTTGTTTATACACTAACAAAATAGTATCGAAAAATCTCCAACACATGTGATTACTTTTATACATCATACCAAAAAAATAACAATAAAAAACAATAACAAACAGTTTGACTTTTTAAATCTTTGCTTAGGTTAGCGATCAGAAGTACGAAATGACATTTGCTCGATATATTATATCGGGCAAATATAACTTTTGCTAGAATTTTTTTAATCGCGAAAACGGTTTTTAGCAAAATTTTCGTTATTCTTTCAGGGTATTCTAAATGCTTATCGCAAAGAAAACATTAGGTTAGGTAAAAAAAAAAAATTTTCGAGACTAAATATTATTTCGGACAAATGTAATTTTGGACTTCTGATAGGCAACTCTTTGCTTACAACTAATAAAGAAATATACCTATTTATGTGCCGTTACAATTGCATAAGGCTGAATGCTCGTAAAATGCTGATAAGTTTGAATATAAGTGCTGTCTATTTTCCCTGTGAGTAAAATAGAAAGTCCTAGCAATCTTGCAATTTCTTATAACACGTTGATCATTTAAGGGGATCTAATTGAGTGACGTCAATAGCGCAAAAGGTCAAAATTTGAAACTCATAATCACACAAATTCATACAGGTATCAATTCACGTAAAAATGATCAAGTTTAGCCCATCTGTCTCTTTCTTTTCCGCAAGAAAAGTTGTGCTACAACATTTTAAACGTCTAATTGACGAATTTATAATTATTATTTCTTTAATGGTGACCACGACCCAGTGTCAGTTTCGATGTATGTTGTCAGGCCAACGCTAAAAGGCGCCGTCGAAATTAGACAGCTCAACTTCTCTTTACATAATATAATTTACTAAATCAAATCTTGACAGATGCAGCTTACTTGAGTGCATTTGCCAAAAAAGTAGGCATATATGCGATTGCGCGAATCAAGACCATTACGTCACTAAATTGCGTGTTTGGCAAAATATGACGGAACATTGAAATGAGGGCAGTGTTAGCTATAAGAATAGATTGTACCGTGTAAATTGAAGTCGCTGTAACATTTTGACTGTCAATTATGTTTTATTATAACTTTAAACAGTCCGATAGGTATGGACGGTGAATGACGTCCGCACGCAGGTCAGTCAAATCTGATACCGCATCCACTGTACCCAAAAACTTCATTTTAATATAATATAGAAAATAATAATCATGCAATCAAATATTGTTGCAGTTCTGACAGCGACATTTTTTGGTTTACAATAGCAATAATGCATTACGGGAAGTGAGCGTGCCAACAGCTCCGGCACCTATTTGGAAAATAGGGAAGAGGCTGTACGTGCACCTGGGGCCGCTCACCCGAGGCACTGGCCTTCCGAGAACCTGATAAAGTCCGTGACAACTGTCTGTGACAACCCTGTCTACGGATTGCAATTTGGGGATAGCAGACGAGATGTCTGAGAAGTTATTTCCGAACTGTAAGCTGTCCCACGCAGAAAAAAAACAATTTGAAGTGACGTTACCTTTATGGGAAATGAGCGATACGTCAAAGCTGTTTTCTTGAATATTCTGTTGAGATCTTATTTTCCACATGTGTATAGCTCAAAACGACGATTGGATATAATTCGCTATATTGCTGACTTAGGCTTAGAATCTGAACTTATAAGGTCCTTGTGCTTGCACAGGTTATAGTGCCCTTCCCGTATACCCAAGTTAAGTCAAACTTTTGTAGAAGTATACGTGACTGTTAACAATAGTACAAAAACTCTAGCTGAAATTATTATTATTTTTTTTTAATTTAATTATATGGTGGGAGCTTTTTATTAATTTTACATAATTCGAGTTCTTGCTTTTTCGCGATTACATACTATAATCACATCCCGAACACTCCATACAACACTCGAAAGTTAGTTACCTACTACTACTACATACAGCAGGGTGCTATCTGCACACGCGCAAATGCGTGCGTGAAGTGGCAGGGTTATACATCACTGTCTCGTTCTATTGCGTTACGTAATCAGAGCGGCAACATAGCGAAAATTGTAACGCGAATCTGTTATCTATGATTCTACTAATATAATCGTAATAATTACACATGTTCCTTAGGCATTTGTATCGATATAATTTTATATTTTTCATTAGTTCATTATCTAGAATAATATTGAAGATTTATTAATTATATTATAATATATAAATATATTATTAATATATTATAAACCACATAAAATATAATATTTCGGGCAGGTATTTTTAAATAAGATAGCCAAAGTATTTGAAATTGCGTGTCCAAGTTTATCGTTACCTCGTTATTAATTAGGATATCCATTACGTAATATTTATCGGTAATACAAATTGAAAATTCGAGAACCCTTGTGTACTTGCTCACGAAGTCGGCATCTCGATGGCGTCTCATTATATTGATATGATAAATCTGTATTATGTATTACTGCGGGGTGTGGTGCGGTATCTAAATCTTGGGAGAGGCGGAGAGTGTCCGTTCTCGTTACTTTTTTGTTTTCTGCTATAATAACACTTTATAATGTGTCAATCAACGATAGTCTGGTCTCAAAACTAGTGAATTCCCTGTACTATGAGTACCAGAAAAACGGACACATGACCATACCCAATTTTGAAAGTTAATTTCCCAATTTGGCCCTACCGGGAATCGAACGCGGAGCCTCTATATCCAGCGCCCACAATATAAGCCGTGGCCGTTAGAGTGAAATCTGTAATCGCGTGTATGTTTGGTTGTTTGTTTTCAAAATGTGCAAACAAATGCAAACAGTCCGAATCCCCATATGACTTTGATTTCAAAGTTACGTACATTCGTGAATATTTAGCAGCAATACCTTTAGTTAACAGTGAAGGAAAACGTGAGAAAACTTCAACTAGCATTGGGTAAGTGTGGAGAACTGTGGTCTAAGCCTCGATGATATAAATAGAAGATATAACATAGACAAGACTCAATATACAGTCAAAAATATCATAGCGACTTCTGAGATGTTGCGTATAATTAAGAGATATGACTTCTTTAGAAGGTTAGTGGATTTGTTAGTCGCCAATTTCCATAATTCGAATCTCATAATTTAAATTTTTTGGCGAATTAATAATTTATTACCTTGCCATAAGGTTGCACTTAAGCTAACCTATACAATAATCACATTTGTCCCGTTTTATTGCGGGGGTTTGGCGAAGGAGAATCTGGGTAGTGAGATACCGAATTTCGTTTCTAGACCCGTAAGTACCGGGATGGCTACTTGATAGCCTCCTATGTGATGGGGCTTTTTCTTGACCTCTTCGATGGGCGTCGCTACGTGGAGTTCTGAACCGGTTGGTCGACTGAAAATAGAATTAACAAATTAGCATTATAATGAAAATACAGACGATATTATTAGGGGGATGTATCCACTAATTAATGTCGACAATTTTACTACGGAGACTACATAAATCACGATAAAAATATTAGTTATTGCATACTTGGATCTATTACAAGCGGTAAAACGTACAGGTTAAAAGTACATACCGGTAGACATAATTATTTTCTACATATTACTTTAAATGATAAGCAAAGTATAATAATCTAAAGTACCAAAAAAAATATATTAAACATTTTTTATACATGAAAGTAGCAGTGTTTCACGTTAGTCATATTGATAAAGCATCCAAATATAAAAGAATTATGTACATAATTATCATAATAATAATATATATATTTAAATATATTAGACAACATCACATACGTTGCTCTGATCCCAAAGTAAGTAGCTAAAGCACTCGTGTTATGTAAATCGGAAATAACGACGGTACCACAAACACCATTATTATTTTTTATTTTTACTTCTGCATGATATGACAATAGCTTACAACTACTTGTAACATGTATAATTAATAACTATAACTACATTACTAGAATTAGCTTCAGATTTATAAAAAAGAGATTTGTAATGTATTATATATATTGACTATGTATTGAAATAAAATTAGAACTTTGACTGTTTTGTGCATGTCTACTGACATTATTTGTAATTTAATCAATTTAATTCAATCACTATAAGTATAATTTTGCATGCCAAATGTGGTAAAATATGAGCTCTATTTCTCTACTGTGTTCCATCTTTTGTTCACCATATTTTAAGCAAATAAATTTTCATTTTCACCCAGATCCGAGAATATAGTTTTTTACACTGACACGGATGGTGATCGAACCCGGGCACTCAGAGATGGCGACACCATAAAAACCAGTGTGCAAGCCACTCGACCCCAGAGGCCGTCAAATATATCATAATAAAGTGATATTGCAGAAAAAAATTAATGTGTTAATTGACAGCACAAAAGTTAACTTTTGTGCTGATAGCCTCAATTACGTTACGAAAGCTTATACACACTTATAAGAGCCTATACACACTGCGTATTTTTTACGCGCTGATATATACGCGCTGTAGTCGCGCGCATGTACCGCGAATTTTGATAACAGCTTGTTTTAATTTTAGTTTTGTTTGTTAATTTTAGTTAGTTTTAGAAAAGAAGCAACTACATGAAATTCTAAGTGTGAATTCCACTGGAGTACATAAGTTTCTTGCTTGCAACGCCCTCAATGCGCGCGTTTGAATCGAAACGCCTCTGCGTCGCGTTTACTGCGTCGCGTTTACGGCACCGTAAACGGGCGTCGTCGTCGGTAATTATAAAATACGCCGTGTGCAGACTTTAAGAATTCAAGGTAAATCAAAGTACACTGAAACATGACTAGTCGAAATACATTTGCAAACTAAATGAAACGATATACCTAACTTCACACGACACTATCGAGTAAAGCATTACCATCGTGCGTTACAGTCGTGTAATTTACATTCCATTTACAGTGATGATAGACGGCTAATGTAAAATAATTCACTTACGATCCTCCGAAGTCGACGTAGAACAGACGTTGAAGGATTTCGTAAGTAACCAACGTCACACCGAACTGCGGCGATGAACGGAACACGCGGGCTGCGGATTATAAAAAAATGATGTTTAAGTTGTACACGATGATACTTAGAAATATTACCTGATCTAAGGAATAATTATAGTAACGTACATACTCATAGCCCCGCACTAGGCAAACCCTGGATCGCGTGTACCATGGACACACACATAGACAACGTGTGAAAGTGAAAGTTTATTTCATATTATACACATGATGTAAACTACTTCTAGGCTATCGATCAACGCCATCTACCAGGGCACTCAGAAAGTTTTACGAAAAAAAGTTTCTTGTATGAAACACTGGCTAGTTATAATTTATTTTGAAAATACGTTTATTTACCAGCATAAATCCGATTCTTTTTTTGTTTAAATCTAAATTTCAGGAGCTTTATCGTGTAACTTAACCTAGTTTCCTGCCCAAAGTGACCAAACTAACCTAGTTTCGAGCTGGGAGCCACACAATCTCACCGATGCTCAGAAGCAGGCTTGCGTGGAATGGTGCCGCTAAGTTTGAAGCAGGCTCGTCTCGGCACTGTTCGGTTTGCGGATATTATTACAGATTAAGACTCTTGGATTTCTCAATACGATCCAGAAAGGAAGCAGTTGACGGTTTGGCTGTTTCAAATCGAGCCAACGCCTACCAAAATCAAACAATCGAAAGGCGCAGGGATGATTTTGGTCGCTAGTTTGTTTGATTTTTAAAGTAGCATTAATGCCGAATGGTATACTACCAAATGTTTCCCAGAAGTGTTCACTACTTTGAGTACCGAACAGGAGCTCCGCGAGTTTCTGCTTCACCATGACAACGCGCCCGCGCAGTCGGCGGTCAAAACGAAGAAATTCCTGGACTGTATACCGGTTAAACTTTTGAGTCAGCTCCTTACAGCCCTGATTTGGCACCGTGTGTCTTATTTCAGTTTCTTAAAATAAAAAATCAACTCAAAGGGATACAGTTTTCACCGCCGGAAGACGCGCTAAGAGCGTTCGAAGATGCCGATAAAGAGGTGTCAGAGGCGGACTGCAAAAATTGTTTCCAAAATTGGTTCAGACGCATGAAACTGCCCAGACAGTGGTAGAGAGTTGTTTAAAATATGAAATGGAAAAAAATATGCCCATAAAACATTATTTGTTCATTTTCGTAAAACTTTCTGAGTGCCCCACGTAGTTATAAGGCGGGATTTTGACCTTTTTCAGAGTTACCATTGGTAGTATGGAGATCAGCAGTCCTGTAGTAGTTATTTGTCCAAGGTTTGGTTAATAAGCGTATAGAGTTAAAAAAAAAGTATTATTTTTTTATGGATACATGCAAAATAGCGGCTATTATTACTGTTTATGAATAACGATGAGTACTCAAATGTCATTAACACATTTCCAAATTTGAGCTGAATTGCCGTAAGGGGAGCACGGACCAATGAGGCTATCAGCGCAGTAGGGGTGTACCCTACATTTTTTTTCTACAACATTACTTTAAATAATGCTAAAGTATCTAATTACTTTTATATCTGGTTGGTATTTTCTTAAACTTTTTTTCACATTTGCACTGATAGCCTCAAATGAGATTTAAAACAAGATACATTTATTACTCACCTGTGGCGCCTTTCCAGAACGCCCTGGCTCCTTCCTCGGCGTAAATTTTCCTAGTTGCATCAATCACTCCATTGTATGTCGTCTGACCAGTACGCGCGACTACCTGCGAAAAACATTTTTCACTTTAAAATAATTATTTAGCGTCGTCAAATGTCAAAATTAAAGGTTTGAATAAAATAAATTAATTAAGTTTTTCAAATTATACTAAAGGCCTATTTATGTCTGGAAATAAAATCATATTGAAAAGAGACTGAAGGTTATATTTCAGAACTCTACTCAATGCTTAAGTCAGGATTTGAGCAGACTTGAGTATGATTTCAAGCACTGGAAATACGACCCTAATGGCAAGGACTTGAGTGTGATTTCTAGTGCTTTGAATCATACTCAAATCCTGACTTGAGCATTGAGTCGAGTTCTAGTATACGACTATTATTGACTAATTAGTATGTAAAAAAGACTGATATCTACAACGGTCAGTTTCTTAGTTTCTTAACGTTGAACGACATCTAGTACACCACAAAAAATTTTCAGTTCCTACGTATACATAGGTCCACATTAAATTAGTTCACGTAATATCAAATGTATTGGTTTGACCGATTGGCAATAAAAAATTAACTACCTACATTATTACAAAAAATAAAGTAGATGACGAATGACGACTCATACTTGAAATTGTCTTTTAATTTGGTCGAGTATTACTATTTGACCGCAATTGTTTCGGACATCGGACAGAGAACGAGACAAGACCCCTAGTTTGTACTTTACACAATTGTCATAAAGTTCATAATGCTATGTACAAGTTCGTTACAAAAATTCGCTTCCATTCCGTTCCGCATCGATGTAAATTAAGCCTTTAGATTAAAATGCATCTCGAGATCTCAGCAGATAGGCAACAAATAAGACTCATCATGATTCTATGGCATTTCTTAGAACAGTCCCATATTTTCTAATAAGTTCTGATTATTGTACCCTCCCTGCCCTACCTTATGGTTATATGGAAAAGGCACTAATACTTGTGCAAGCAACACTGCAGAGGGACCAACTCAGTTAGGTCCTGACAGCCCGCTGACGCAGACTTCATCCGATTCTCAAAAAGCTAGTACCTTGTGTGAATGCTTAGAACAGTAGGTGTCATATAGTCTGCTTTCACCTTTTTTTATTCAACTATTTATATTCTAGTCAGCCTCCGTGGCTGAATGGTTACCATATTGATCTGCCACGCAAGAAGTCTCAAGTTCGATTCCCGGGCCGGGAGACATATTTGTATTCCCTCCTGCATTTATATTTGTCTGCCCTCCTGCATTTATTTCTCACGTGAGTTCGGGTGTAATTTGTGGTTGTCTATGTACGTCTCCGTGGCATCCGCGACACAGGGTTTCCCCAGTGCGGGGCTATGAAAATGAAGTTTGAAAAAAAAAGCTTAATGAGCTGGAAAAAGGTTTATATTCGACGCCGACCAATACCGCCTACCTGACATCATCCCTTCGATTGACACCATTGACACCCACTACTGTCGTCCTTTTTACAACTAAAGTTTGTTTTAATTAACACTGTGTTACCTGTAAACGCGTTTTAATGACGTCAGCCGGTGTGACCAGTGACGCTGCAGGGACGCCAGCTATAGCGCCAGACGCGAGCAGTGTCAGAGGGTGATTGTACCCACTTTCATCCGCCATTCTAGCCTGAAAACATAATTTAATTAATGCTGAATGTCATGAAAAATCAGGAAATAATAAAAATAATTATAATATAAATAAATAATAGTAATCATCAACCCATTATACGTCCCATTGCTGACCACGGGTCTCTTCTAATGAGAGGGTTTAGGCTATAGTTTGCCATGTTTGACGGTCTGTGGTCTCTGTGGTCGAGTGGCTTGCACACCGGGTTTCATGATGTTGTCATCTCTGAGGTCCCGGGTTCGATCCCCGGCCGGGTCAGTGTAGAAACTAACTTTTTAGTTTCTTTTTATGATACCAGTGATGGGACGAATAACTTGTATGACAGGCGGGAAGCAACACGCCTGTCAGGCAGAGCTTTTAAATGCAAAGATCTGAGGGGCACTGCGCGGTAACCTATCACAAACTCGAATTTTTTTTTCCCGAAATAACATATGTTCGAATTTTCATTACACCGAATTATAACGAAACCGTTGTTCTTTCAGGATATGTTGGATGTTTATTGCAAAGACACGATTAGGTTCGGTTAGGTTAGGTTGAGTTAGGTTTAAAAGAAAAAACATTTTCCTCTCAAAATTACTTTCGAGGTTATGAAAATTCGATGAAACGTTATCTCTGGAAAATGTCATTTCGGACTAGCCGCACACACAGGCTGTGGCACTTTTGCAGTCTGGACTTAGTCAGCGTAATGTAAGTACACAACTGCATTTTAGTCGTTCCGCTGTTGAAAGGTTATCCATCGGTACTTAGAGACTGGCGGCGCCGTCAAGGAAGACCACGATTTCGAGTGACAATGGAAAGGCAAGATCGATTTATCTTCACAACGAGCTCACGAAATCATCAACTGACTTCAGTACAGATCCAAGAACAGCTTCGAGACTTTTATGGAGTGGCTGTTAACGCTAGAACTGTGAGAAGGAGACTTAAGGAACGTGGTCTAACTCCACGTAAGCCAGCGAAAGGCCCCAAATTGACACCCAGAAAGTGAGCTGTGGCGGGGAGGAATGTCCACCGAAGGCAAAACTGCGCTAGAGGTTGTAACGGGGCCGTGGCTGCCACCATTAAATGCCGACAGATACATTCGCCAGTGCCTCGAAATTCATGTAATGCCATAATTATGTAATGCTGGCTTTGTAGGCCGAGATTTTATTCTCATGCATGACAACGCAAGAGCGCATACTGCAAGAGTCGTCACGGAACACCTTCATGACGTCGGTATTACTACCATTCAATGGCCAGCACGAAGCCCGGATATGAACCCAATAGAACATTTATGGGACGAACTAAAGAGGCGTGTTCGAGCTCACCACGCAGCCCCGCAAACCTTACCGGAGTTGAAAGTTGCCATGGAAGAAGAATGGGAGAACATTGCATAGCACTTCATATTGACGTTAATTAATTCTATGCCAAATCGCATGGCGGCCGTTGTCAACGTTCTTGGAGGCAATACAAGTTACTAAATAGACAATTTTTTCCGATAAGCCACTGTTCTTTAAAATTTCTTTACTAGAGTTTCATTTGACAAAGGTGAATTCAAGACTTGTGACACTTAGGGTCGTATTTCAGAACTCTACTCTATGCTCAAGTCAGGATTTGAGCAGACTTGAGTATGATTTCAAGCACTGGAAATACGACCCTAATGGAAAGGCCTTGAGTATGATTTTCAGTGCTCACTGCAATACTCAAGTCGTGACTTGAGTATTGAGTAGAGATCTGGAATACGACCCTTAAACTCGTTTTTCCCTGGTTTCAGAAATCATCAAATTTTCAACAAGGACACACGGAAATGACCTTTAGTAAACCAGCTTCAAAATTGCATTATTAGTTTTTGATCAATCAAACATATTTTTAAGTTTAGGGCATTTAATACTAAAATACTAAAGTCCGGGAGCGTATATACGTAATTAGCCGCCCGAGCTTTAACTGGATTTTTACCCAAAGCGCCGTGTTTTAATCCATTTCTGACCAAATTCGGCGTGGAAATGGCGAATACGAAATATGGTATAATTGCATACTTATTACAAATTTCGATGTAAAAATTTGTTTTTAGACGAAAAAGAGCCAACTTCACATAATACCCACCTTGCAATCCTGTGGATTCTCATTACTAAGGATACACTTTACGATTGGATTTCTACGAAAATCGATTCAAGCGAATTTTATGCAGCGAGTTTTTCAATCGATTTAATTCGATTTTCAAGCGAACCGATTCAATAGAAAGGCAAATCGAATCGTTTAAATCAGAAAGCAATAAACATTTTGTAATATCATTAAATTTGAACAACACTCCGTTTAGCTGTAAATAGTTTTTGCCCTCGATTTTGGGCATTAATGGGTTTTGACCCGATTTAAACCTGGCATTAACAAAGCGCTGGGTTGAAACTTGGGCGCTTGCCCATCTCTGTACGTAATTTAAAAATTAAAGTCTAATATAGTGCTGGGACGTTGTTGGTAATTTTACAAATAACCCTGTATAAGGCGTAACAGATGGCGCTATGTACTCCCGCGAGTTTTGCCCACTTGCTGCAGCTGTAAAGCATGCTGCATTAGCATTCCAGCGCAGAATAGTGTTTCATAATAACTAACCTTCACATGAGCGTAGGCGGGGAAGTAAATGGCACTGAAGGGCATGTCGCGCAGTAGACACGCCCTCGCACCTTTGTAAAGGCCAAAAATGCCCAGATCCTTCATGACAGACCATGCGCGGACTTTACTGCCCCCAGCGATCTCCCCAGCTACTTGAAGACGGATCTTGACAATTTCCAAAGGGTTCGTGAAAATCACTTGGCAGCCACCGGCCTGTGAAGAAAAACAAACAATTAATACTAATATAAGCAAACATGTAAAGAATTTCAATAAATAACAAAGGTTTATTGAATGAACGTTACTATTCGTAGTACTGTAGATTAAAATATTAGAAAAAAAAACGCAGCCGCTGGTATTCGTCAAGGCGACGACTGATTGGATCATTTCAGCGTAATGTTTTACTACTTTTTACGTCGTCTATTTTACTCGCTCGAAGGCAGACGTAAATCTATATTACTCAATTATTTAACAATTAAAAGCGAAACTATTAACAATAATAATGGTTAAAGTTGTTACTTACAGCTCCACCAGCTAACACTTCGGCATACAGTGGTATATTTCCCTTCTTATCCATAAATTTGTCTCGAACGAAATCATTTACCTGAAACCAACATTGATTGAGTGTTGTTTTCATAAATTTTGTCTCTGAAGAACTTGGATTTGTGAGGAAGAGTGGTTATTCATTCATTTCTTGAAATGTATTTATATTTACCTATATAAATACTGTACACAATTTACCCTATGCAAAGGATGGTCATGACTTATCGAAAAGAAATTCATAATTACTAATATCATAGGCCAATAACTCAACAGGACTGAAAATCCGTACTACATACTATTTCCATACTACAGGTTGTCACTCTAGAAAAGACAAAATTCCGACTTATATCCAAATGTCGCTGATCAATAGGTGGAAAGTAGATTATATTTGTAAATTGCCGTGAACATCAATTAATTCCTCTTTAATATGAAAATGTAAGATGTCTGTTTTATTTCCTTGCAATATTATTCAAATATTGATCACGAGTTAAGATTATTTTCTGAACTTTGACAAAACATGCATGTCAATAGATGGAACTGTGTGTTGTAAACAACTTGTAGCGAAACGCAGCAGTCTCTATAAATCTTTTTTGTATATACACTTCCGGACACATAATTCGAGCCACCGTTAAACGTCTTTTCCATAAGTCATTGTTGGGAATTTGGATTTGTAAAACCGGGGAAAACTTTTTATTCCATGATAACACTATTTTTGTAATCTAGCCCTTTACGATAAACATGCGAGGTGGTACGAATTATGTGTCCGGGACTACATTTCATAGTCTCGTAAAGTTTTATATTTAAATTCTAAATTTAAATGTGATTGTTTTTGTTTCGCGACGATTTCGCGGCGAACCTAAGAACTCGATGTGATTGTTTTGTTTTGCTGTTTTGTTTTCATGGCTACGTGGTTTGTAATAAAATTAATAAACTGTAAATATGGCCTTGCTCATTCGTTGTTAGCACCCACCCTTTAACCCATTGATACAGTCTGCTATACTAATTTATAAAAAAGTAACGCTTCCTAATAAGGGGCGATGGAGCTAATACTCAACAAAATAAAAAAATAGCTGGTACTATCCATTAAAATTTGCGCAATTAACGCCATCTAGATTTGTTCGTTATCACAAGAAATGAGAGAGTGGCTTTGAAAAATGTGATTTTTGTAGCAGTAGAGCTCCTTGTGAAAGAGTTCGTCCAGTGAGGTACTGCCACCTTACCTATTTCTGCTGCCAAGCAGTAATGTGAACATTACTGCGTTCCGGTTTCGAAGGGTAAGGTGGGTCCCGTCACTTAGTATTATACAAAAAAATTGCAGCTTGTCAATGCAAAACAAAATTAGTAACAAAAATGTTTGGTTCTCGTCGCGACATCTGGTGTACGAAACATACATACCCGACTAAGTTGTCTAGTATCGCGATTAACAATCCTCTTCAATTATTGGTCCATGCTAATACCAAGACTGTCACATACAGTGTTGAACCACATTGAGCATGCGGGATTGTGCTGTTGTACAAGCAGCTGCATGCGTCAGACTGAAAAACAGTGCACGCGGAGCGTGATACTCATACAAGCTGCTCTAATGCAGTTCTATCCTATAGTTAACCTCACTTGCAACAAAAAAAGCGACAGTTAACGAACAACGGAAGAGGCGCAATTTACACTGCCGCGGAAGGGAATGGAAGAGATTTTTTTGTAACCATAGCATAAAGTTATGTCAATTGTGTAACATACAAACTAGATCGCACTGTCTCTAGAATTCTCGCAACTATCTTTTTTTTTAACGCACACAATCATAGCCCCGCACTAGGGAAACCCTGTATCCCGGTCACACACATAGACAACCACAAATTACGCCCAAACTCACTTGAAATAAATGCAGGAGGCCATACAAATATTTCTCGGAGCATCTTGTTTAGACTTATGACATCCATGAGGATTTTGTGCTTCTCATACAAAGAAAAATACATTATTTGTCAACACGCTTCAGCACTGTGTCCAAATATACGTCTGTTACATGTTATTTTTTATCTTAACACTTACAAGCGATGTACGAAACCCACTGTACCGACGTAGCATTAAAATCCGCGAGTAATAAATAGGTCCCAGATTCCACGAACACCCACAAATCTAAAAAGTGTTACAAACGACGAAATGTTTTATATATTCTAACAGTGTAGAATAGAGGATTTCTTTCGAAGAAATAGTAATTTTATTATTATTTGACGTCGTTGTATTTCGACAATGTTTTATGTTTATTTCTTTTTCCTTACACTATTTTGTTTTATATTAATTATTGTTGTTTGTATTAGTAACGATCACGAAATAAATGTTTCTATTCTAGGTTTCTATAACATGATTGATGCTGATTTTGGCAATGAGGATACATAGGTATCTATGGTTTGTTTTTTAAGATGGAGTAAAATGACGGTTCATTGCGCAATAGTGTTACCTGATTGCGAGCAGCTAGTGATTGCAGTCCATAAATGTTCTATCGACAATCGATTGAATGTTGGTCACGCTTATGCAATAAAGTAGCCGAACTTGTTTCATTTGAATCATCATTGGCCCACTATTCGTGCAACCGTTGGGGACAGGTCCATTTCGATTGTCAATTTTTGTAAGTTCATACATACAGACTCTGCATTTAGAACCATGTCTATTACAAGTACAAAGAGGAGACATTTTTGAAGTTTTTCATTTAATTTAATACAGATTATCAAATGCGCCTATTTTTATTAAAATGTATTAGAATAAAAATTGATTTTGACTTCCTTCGGCCCACCGTCAACATAAGAATATTCAATCAGTAATATTACGTCGCAAAATTCACAATTCAAGACATTTTTGGCAAAATTTTACCTTCTTTCACAATCTATCTGTCGACAACAACTACATGACTATTTAATATTTTATGAAAACTCGCAACCGTGTGAATGTCATTTTACTCCGTCTTAAAAAAATACTGACTGTAAATAAATTTCACCTACCGTCAGTTTAATAGCTTTTTCGGGGGCCACGCCAATCAGTTGCGGCATTAGGCCTCTATACAGCCCAAATACGCCCTCGTGTCGTATGACCTTCTTGAAGCAGTCAAAGGAGTTTCGGTAAGCAATTTCGCCGACAAATGACCCGCTGCGCTGGTTTTGCATTCGAGTCTTTACTAAGTCGATGGGGTATACAGTCGAAGCACCGACCGCTGCAACGGTGAAATAGGTGTTAATTTAAGTGTCACGCATTATCATTAAATGTTATTCACCAGAAATAAGTTAAATGGTATTTAGCAACACAACCATATTTTAATATGATTTTTGTAACTTTACTCAGCAACGAAACTCTGCTGGTACAATAATTGTGTATAGAGCAACAGATTGATTGAGTGCATTTAGATGATACAAGGTAACAAATAAATATTTGTAATTTTTATAGCAACGTACCCATTATTTCTACGAAAACATTATGAAGTTTATTTACATATTCGAAACCAGAAAACATATTGACAAAAGATTTTTTCAATTTTCACTTACCACCAGCGATAGAGCCGAGGGTAAATCTGTAAGTACTCTCCAAAATCTGTATAAATATACTTCGCTCTTCGGGACTCTGAAACAAACAAACAAAACATATTTACTATATTCTTCTGTTAATAACAAAAGTTAGGACTTCAAACTGTGTCTTGGCATGTTCATTAGTGTTAATATATAGGTAGTCTAATAAAAAAATGGAAATGTATATTGTGTGGCTTATGACAGTGAAAAGTGGAATAGCAATACAATATCAGCGAGATATTTATGTTCCGTATGTGATGTTGATGTTATACAGGGTGTTACAAACAGATTGAGTATTGACTAAAATGACTCCCCTTAAATTTTATGTAACAGCGACGCCAGGTTATTACATTTTAAGTTCAAAGTATGTCTTGTGCGTTGCACACTTTTTAATTACACCCTGTATATGGGCAGTTCTCATGAAATTTCGAAATTCGTGCTTTCGATTTTTATGAAAATTTTTAGAAAGAATTTGTATTTATTTTTAGTCAATTTCATAGTACTTATGTAAATAGTTTTTGATGACATATTGGTCCCCAAATAAATGACTTTTAAGAAAATGTGTAGGGCAGTCAGAACATTTGAGGGTGACGGAATGGCGGAGAGGAAATGACGAAATCAAAATAAACCAAGAAAAATAGCTATATAAACTAACTTTTAGGCTTAATATTTTGTGTAAACTTACTGCTACTAATAACTCGTCAGAGTGAAAAATTAATAAACAAAATCAAATGCTTCTTATAAAAACATATATATTATATCATCATATAAAAACTTCTTTTTATATGATGTGAGGGAATGACTGTCAAAAAAAATGTATCTTTTAGAATTTTAAATTAAATCTTTTCGTAGTAGAAACTTTTTACAAAAATAAGTTGAATTTCGTCAGTTTGAAACGTTTACAGTACTGCTAACTTTCAAAATGCATTTGCGTGGGGCGCAAGTTTAAGTTTCCGGAATGAATAAAAAAAATACTATAAATGGTTAGAAATGAATTTATTGTTTCTCAAAATATTCTCCGTTAGCGTTAATGCACTTTTTCATACGAATGAACCAATTTTGAAAACATTTATGCCACTCCTCCGTGACAATCTCTGAAACATATTTTTCATACTCTTCGACAGCCTCTTCAGGTGATGAAAATCGTTGACCGCGTAACTGGTTCTTAATTTTTGGAAATGAATAAAAGTCACAAGGTGCCAGTTCGGGACTGTACGCGGGATGGCTCATAAGGTCAACGTTGTTCACCTACAAAAATTCATTTGTCTGTCTGGCCGTGTGAGAACTGGCATTATTGTGGTGCAAGTTTACGGTTATTTATACGGCGTTTACGGTTATTTATACGGTGTTTGTCAATAACTTCCGGCAAACAAATGGTCATGTACCAATCACTATTCATGGTACAACGATTCCCCAAAGCAACAGTAGCCACGTGTTCAGTTTTATTAAAAAAGAAGCAATTATCCGCTTAGAGACACTTTTCACGCGCGCCACTTTGGTTGGTTTCGGCTCATCTCGAAAGACCGATACGCTCGATTGCTGCTTTGTTTTGGGATCGTAACTGCAAATCCATGCTTCGTCACCTGTTACTGATGTCCCACACTAAATTTGACGCCTCTTCGTTGAATCTGGTAAGCATGGCATTGCACCAAGTGACAAGATCCGTTTTTAGAGCCTTAGTCAAATTGTGTGGGATCCACCGAGAGCACAGCTTTTTTACACCCAAATGTGTGTGTAGTATTGAATGTATTTGACTCATGCCTATGCCTAAAGATGCCCGAATCTCATGGTATGTCACATGCCTTTGATCATACGGCGCACAGTATCGATGTTTTTGTTGTTCACAACAGTGGACGGGCAACCATCACGAAATTCGTCACTGAGATTCACACGACCGCATTTGAATTCTGCAAAACAGCTATGCAAAGCAGTGTGAAGCCGAGCGAAGCTCCGCTGAGCTGTTGAATTACACTTAAAGTCATAGAAAATCATACTACGAAAATTTTCACAAGTTAAATCCATGGTGATGTAGACAACCAATTTCTAAAATGACGCTACAATGTAAAAACAAGTGACAGTCAGATGAAACAAACTGTATTCTACAGCCAAAGAGTTTTTAAATATTCTTTATGTAAATTACCAGTTCCGGAAACTTATAGAGCGCCCTATGTACCAAAGATTAAAAATGCTTTCACAAAATAAGTGAAGATAAAAATGTGAGGGAATGATTTTTTTAAGTTGGGATATGAATAATACATTTTTTAAATTTATTTATCGTGTTTTTACCACAGGATGGCTTTAATTTTGCAAAAACATATTTTATTTGATCGAATGTTTAAAATTTAAAGGTTATTTTTGATTATGGAACTTGGGACATAGCCAGGAAATGATTTTGAGGTCATTTTTATATTATTATTATTTTATTTAAATAGACTAATCAATATTTTATGTAGGTATTAGTAGCAATTGAATTATATTTTGATATTACAAGGACAAGAATTTCGCGATTTTGTAAGAATTACCCATAGATTGGTAAGTCAGGGAAAATAGACTAAGTTGAGGAGGTACTATCATAGTATGTGGACACGACACCGCTCGGATTTACGTTACTAGACATTATGGAACTTGCTTGATATAGTATGTCGTTATTATTTCTGCAAAACTGGCCCCTTGTCTTATTCTTTTCACGCATATTTAAATATGTAAAAAAGAGAAAGTATCTCTCTCCCGTGTTCTGAAGTAAAGCAAAAAAGAATCCCAAAATTGTGGTCAATTTTTCCTGACAAACATATTTTTAAATGCGTATATAAAATATTTATTTTCTAGCGCAATGGAAGAGGCTTACAAATAGGAAAAAGAAAAACAGCGAGGCTTTGGGATTTATATTAATATGCTACAGATTTCATAGTGATTAGATTTTGTCGTAGATTTTCTATATTATTTTCTATATTAATAATTTCCTATACTTGACTTAACTTATTAATTATAAAAGTGGTTTCAAAACTACCAACTTTCAGTTTTAGAAGTGTACTAGCACAAAGAAAAAACTTACCAAAATCTCACTTAGAAAAAATAGAAGGAAACATCATCAGACACTTCGAGCATACTTACCCACAGCTTTCGTCCCGACAGGTGAATTAATCGAAAATTTCTTAACGTATTTACCTCCTCCTTATCAGCAGTGAAAGAAAGAGAAAAACACAGAGCTGTCAGTTAGTGATGTTTCTCAAACTCTTATGCTAAACAACATAAAGGCTACTAAACATACACTTTCAACGCAAGGTCGGCTGCTGTAAGAATTCCCGGTGTGCTAATGGCTAGGCTATATTAGATTTTGTGTGGGAGGAAAGGAGATGGATATACTTACAGAGACTGCTTTGATTTCAGCAATTCTTCTGTTGACTTGTTTGAAGTACTGTTCAGGCGTGATCGAGTTGAGGTCACTGTACACGATCCGACTGTAAAGAAAAAATAATATTTATACTAAAATGCTAAGAGAATCCCAACGACGAAAAATATATAATGGGATAATTAGTAAGTAATTATTTTGGTTAAATGGGAAATCAAATTGGTCATAATAATTCGATAAAACAAGAAAACAAAACTTTAACCACTTTTAAGTGCAAGTGCGTATCAAAAACCTCAAAATGATCCCATACTCGGTTAAAAATGGAGAAGTAGCGTATAACATTTAAATTGTGTAAATTATAGTTGTAAAGATTATCGGAGCAATTTAGGGGCAAAACAGACTTGCAGCTATGGTCAGCGGAGCCAGGGAGTCCTATTTTGGCGCCGAAGCCTTCCTCTCTTCGCGATTCGACAATGGAACAAAACTATAATTGAGTAAGAAAGAAACGCATACATATAAAGTGTGATGATAGATTTGGTAATCGTCTACTGAGTATAGTAGTGGTAATAGTGATATCCTTAATTTAGCAAACATTGCTGTCGTTGTATATATTTAAACCGTCAACGTATATGTCATCGGTGTTTTGTAGAAAGAGCGTAAGCAACATTTCGTAGATTTTTCAGGAGAGCATCGTTTATATTTTAATGACTGATTTAAAATATTTACGTTGTGTTTTAAAATTCAATTTTGTTTTAATTAAGTTTAAGTTTTAAAATGAATTTTAAAAAAAGGCGTAAATATTTTAAAACAGTCGTTAAAACCTAAAACATGCTCTCCTGAAAAATCAACGATCAATATACTATTTCCCATAGTTATAGCTGTGATACAGCCGCCTTAGGTCCCTTGTACATGAAAATGTACAGACGACAGAATATCAAGTTACACATTGTCGGATCTTGTTCCGTTGCACTTAAAGCGACATTCTAATAAAAGTGTTTAACTTGACGTGCATAATATATGAAGTGATTCAGACCTAGCTAATATTGTTTTTATGATCACGTAAACACTCAATGAAAATATCGTATTCAAATTTAGCGCTATATATTCTCTATGACCATCTAGATAAACACTTTAAAAAACATTCCATTTTCATACAAAACTAAGGGCATACTTGCTTGGACCTAAAGTATCCTAATTACGTAAATTGTGCGATTAGCGCTTTTCCCGTTGTAGTTTGGTGGGACTTAAGATATGAAAATATTTGTAATAATAAACGCGACTCAATTAATCACCTGTTGCGTGTTAGTCACGTAACAATCTAGTGTCACAAGATTTACTAAGATTAGATTAAGGTGTGTGTTTTACTAGGCGATGATTTTCATAACTTCCCTGAATGATTTTATATCATTTTTTTTCTGCAAACATGCCAGTTTGTTCGCGTATGTAATTTATAATCGGTTTCATCTTCTTTGTTCAATCTGCCGCCATCGACACCGTTGGCACCTTTTTCTCTCAAGACACAATGGTTACATATGCCACCGGTACATGATTTGGTGGTAACAGATGAGGATCGACTGTTTCAGCTTAATTATTTCGCTAAAATTTAATGTCATTAATTTCGGTATCGGTAGAAAATTGCGCTATTGGCGCTGACAACATTTATAATCCATTCTTTCACAACGGTCAATTTATTAGCCAAGCTACAAGGTAAGCGCATAAGGTCTTAACCTGAGACATTTCATAGGTAGTATAAATAACTGTTTATTTGTCTAGTGTTTTTTATGATATCAAGGGACGGGACGAACAAGTCGTGCGCCTGGTGGTAAACGACAGGCCTGGCCATAAATGTTGCAGTGCCACTCAGAGCTTTCAATTACAGAGATCTGAGGGCACTGCTACTGCGTCTGTCACCCCAAGACAAGTTGACAAGTCCCAAGTGCCTGTAATTTTACCAGCAGGGTAAGGAACTCTTCAAAACCGGAACGCAGTAATGCTCACATAGTAATGTGAGCATTACTGCGTTCCGGTTACGGTGTTACGGCGTTTCGGCTGCCAAACAGTAGTTTGGCAGCAGAAACAGGTAAGGTGGCAGTTCTTCCCTAGACGAACTCTTGCACAAGGAGCTCTACTGCTACTAAAACTAATTTTAGTAGCAGTAGACTAGACTAGACTAGATTAGTCTAGTCTAGTCTAGTCTCTTCTAAACTATAACTAAACCGCACGCCATAAATAAAGAGAGCCTCGATATTATTCCAAATACTCGCATTATTTTAGATCGCTACTGGAACAAGGTCGAGCGTTATAGATAAAAATATTATGTTATTAATATATAATGACATTTTATGATTTCATTTTTAGTTTGCCGAAAAAAAAGTTATCAAACCCGCTTGTCTTTTATGACAAACACGTTTTAGTTCATGGCAAAAAGATATCATTTACTAAAGCAAGAAAACGCGAACGTCATATCCGATGCCACAAACAACACAGCATTTGTTTGATATTATGATAAAGGTCAATACCGTGCTTATCAGTTGAAGAGTTCACTAGTAGAGGTTTCTAACGTTTTTACAAAGTGTTGGTCCTTTATACTGATTAACTACACTGCTGTCTCACGACGATGTGTGACGTATTGTTGTATTCTTACACTTCACACGATCTGTGTAAATATGTATTTTATAACAAATGAGGAAATTTACATTTATTTTAATACTACAGAATAGTTTTCAAACAACAAATTAAATGACATTTCACAGTTATATTGACAGTTATATATTCGATGACATGTACTTATTATATTGATATGTCTTTTTGAATATTTTTGAAGAATTAAAAAACCATGACTCTAAAAACGTAATAAATTTCTTTTATTAATAAGTTATATTTCCACATCTACCTTAATAATATGATTTTAATGAACAACAAAGTAAGAAATGCCTAACACTGTCGTGCGGGCTTTTAGTTATATACCATGTAAACAAAACCCTAACGCTAAGAATTAATTTAGTCACTGAATGGTAATCAAGTTTAATGAGTCATGGACACGCCAATATATGCAAACTACTACTATATAACAAGTACAGTGGTTACTTAAAAAAATCTATTTTTAACGTTACTTCGAATGTTCTACTGTCGAGGCGGCTACTACAAAAACTCAAAAGTAACTCACCCGTTAGTATGATGAATCGTGTCACAAAGTGAAAATAGAATATCGACTTCGAGAGGCGTGATTTGGCTCATCATCTGTGCCGAGTACAGAAATTCTTCTTTCGTGACTTCGTGTGTTTTCGAACCTTGAGATGCGTTCAGGTAAACTCGCTTGATTAGCTCCATGTTGTTGAGTAGCGAGTTGAAAGCCATGAAGAATGGGAAACTGACCTTCCGCTCGCCTTGTGGAAACCCTGAAGCCTGCACAGAATTTTGGTTACGTACCTACTTATAAATGAGACTATTGGCGCAAAAGTGGTGTAACCAAGGGAAAAGCATAAGGAAGATTTAAAATTAGACAAATTCATTTTATATATAGTGATTTATATTATTTACAATTTTTTTTTTAATACTTGAAACTAGCATCCCAATATATAATAATTACGTATTTTAGTATCATTTAAGGTTACGCTACTTTTGCGCTAATGACCTGAATTATAGGCTATAATTTTGTGGTCTATGGTACTTATAATATAGATCACAAAAATGAAAATGGAAATCTAACGAATAGGTATAGTTTTTCATATTTTTTTAAACGGTAATCCTTAGAAATACTGAATCATAAAATTGTTTTTTTTCTTAAGGAAGTCCATGTAATTTCGTGGCATTCTGTACGTATTTCTAACCATGTACCTATTCTGATTTGCTTTAAAAATAAAATCAAGACGTACAAAAAACATGCAAATAAAATCACGCAGACATTAACAAAGTATCTTCGTTATTTATAGCAATGAATCTTAATTGAGAAAGTGTTTCTAATGAATAGTTTTATTTCGATAGAAATAATAATTGTCACGTTTCAGCTCTATGACTACAATGAAAATGAAAAATATTACGTGGCATTTTTAACGCTGACTATGTTAGGCTTGCCGGCTGACAGACTGGTAGACAGTGGGTTTCCTTGTTTAGCGGATGACGTCACTTCTTGTGAACTACTACACTGGACAGGTATACTAATGAAAGTATTGACTTGGATTCCTTGTTAGTTTTGTTACTGATTCTATATATTTTATTACATAAAAAAGTTATAACAATGGACCCTTGCTCCTATTTAGTACCAATACCCAATTAAGGTTTGTATATTTTACTCAAATAGTTCTAATGATTTGGCCGGACACTATTTCCCAGATTCAGGCTCGTGCGCAGTCTCTGGCTTTTAAGAGTATTGTACTTAAATAGTTTAAATGATCCAGGTGTTACTTTGCGAAGATCCATTTTATATGTGTACCAGAATCTCATGTCATTAAAAATTAGAAAAATTTAACGACTATCGCCTGGCAATGTTAACTTGTCACATGTCAATTCAAAATATTACTGGTGTCAAATGGCTGCTGCTAAATTCATTTTTCTTCAAGTTATTGCCTTCGTCGAATAAATGATTTTTCTATTCTATTTCTATTCTATTCTAAACTTTTTTCACTTAAAATACAACAGTTTTGTAGCATTACTGAGAATCCGCTTCCATCTCAACCAGAAAACATTGCACCAATGTTTGTCGCAAAATCAGCGACGAATTAGGTACATCTAAGTCACAGTTCACGATTTCGAAGCGGGTCTCAAATCTTGCCGATTGGTAGGAGTAAATAAACTTGATCTTTGAAATTTTAACGAAGCCAAATATCTGGTATGTATTTTTTGTTGGTACTGGTGCTGGTCGGCAAGACTAAGTGTATAGACAATGATTGGTAAAAAAAAAAGATAAATGGCGTAAATGCGAGTTACTTCAAACTGCAAACGTAAATAAATCTATCAGCCTCAATGTAATTGATATATTTTTGTATAATTTTAAAATGTGAAATTACTTGCCTTTCTCGTACACAAATTCATACAGATCTTAAAACATGTACGAGGATAGATAAATACTGGTCAATTAAAATATATGAAGTATCTAGTACATTTTTTCCTACTATATTGATGTTGCCCATGCCCACTACAAATTTAAATTTATCGCAGTGCCATCAGATTCTGGTACACTTTATTTTCTGGTACACCTATAATAATGATGGAAGTAATTCATTCTATACTCGTTATAACTGTGGGCTTGATATGTACTCACCATAATAACTTTGTTCCTCATGTCCTTAGTCAATAAATGGTCTTTAACGGACAACATAATTTCTCTAAAGTCTCCAGCGCTGATGAACCCTGTACTATCTTTGTCACGCTTTTTAAAAGCCTCGACTCCATACTCTTCATGGAAGTCGTGAAGGAACTGGCTGAACTCCGGGTAAGTCACCAGCCGTTTCTTATCCTTTCCGAAGTAGAGTTGGACGAATGAACTGCCCATATCGAATGGAAGCTTTTTGTATAGAGATGTTTTTTTCATGACTTCGGCGAATTCGTCTGAAATTTTTTTACTTTAAATAGCGAGTTAAATTGCAGTGACTGATTGTTTATTGCTCTCAAATAACCTAGGTGTCAAATATGCCAAAAAGAATTCTTTTTTCAACAATAAGTACACAAGAAAATAAATATGAGCAAGTTGTCACTTATACTTCTTGTTCCACAATAATTTTTCAATATAAAAAATACTTTAAAATGAAAATGTAAAACCTCGCACAATGAAAGTTAAAATTGCCATTAGCAGAAAACATACCAAAGGCAACAAGCCCATTCCCATTCGTATCGAACAGCTGGAAGGCGGTCTTATATAGCGCATCCGGGACACAGAGTAGGCCTTCGAACGCCTGGAACTCCGGGAACGAGATGTACCCATCCTTGTCCATGTCGACGATGCCCGCAATGAGCTGCACTGATTCCTTGTTGTAGTCATCTGGCAACATACATTTTAAATTGCATTACATAAAAAAACAGGGATAGAGCAGCGTATACGTATAATACATAATGTGGAATTAGAATCGCAATCTAGAACACTCTGTTGTCAGATTGTGCAGTATGTCTGGAAATATAGATAATATGAAATGAGAGTCGCAATCTAGAATACTCTGCTGTCAGATTGGGTAGTATATCTGGAAATACACATATGTGAAGTTACAATCGCAATTTAGAATACTGTGCTGTCACATTGGACAGTATGTCTGGAAATATACATATCTGAAGTTAGAGTCGCAATCTCGAATGCTCTGCTGTCAGATTGGGCATTACGATATATATATCGTACTGTATATATATATCAGTTATCGGCATTTAGTGACAAAAAATAAATTTCAATACAAAGTTTAAAGACTATACAAAGTGTACTCAGAGTGCTGACTGTACAGAAAAAAAAAAGCGATTGTGTCTATTGCGCTTGAACAGCAAATTTGCTGATTGTACCCACTGCGAGAGGCCTGTGCAAATTATACTCGGATTTTTAATTACATTTTAAAGATTGACGTTTAGTTGCTGGTTTTTGATGAAATAAAAATACTCTGGTCTTAAAGAATAGACGTCACTAACTTATTAACAGTAAATTTCATCTATTTATTTATTTTATTTACCTGTTTATTTCTCCAAACACTTAAAAAATCACATCACATGCTTTTTTGACACCCCTAAACCTATATCGGTTTGTCTGGGTGCTGCACAATCCTCTTATAAACATGCACGATAGAAAAGTAACTTGTTATACTTACTATTTATTACTTACTATTAATTGACACATTTAACAAAATCATAGTGTATACTTTACGAAATATATATCTATGTAAATATATATCTGTTATAATTAGGTTAGTATTATGTTTTTATGCTTTTTTTTTTCCTTTTTAAATTTGGTTTCTGTGTGTCTCTTAATCAATTTACTGTATTATATTGTTGTGTGTCTCTTAATCAATTTACTGTATTATATTGTTGTGTGTGTGATGCAAGACAATAAACGTTTTATCTATCTATCTATCTAATTTGCAGGTATTCATTAAAAAAAATAAAAATTGTAAATATATTATGTAGTGACTAAATGTAAATGAAATATTGTTTAGCTGATTAAATATAAAATAAATAAATATTAGACAACTTCACATAAAGTTAGCTAAAGCACTTGTGTTATGGTAATCAGAAACAACGGCGGTATCACAAACATCCAGACCCGAAACAATACAAGTAGAAAAGTCAGTTTCTACATTGCCCCGTCTGGGGATCAACCAGGGGGAGACCTCAGAGATGGCGACTTCATGAACATCGGCGTACAAGCCCCTCGACCATGGAGGTCGTCATTAATATTTATCACTACTTAAAAATCTTTAATCTTTTTTTAATTGATTCTATTTAAGTGAGCTAATTGAGAACTGAGCCTAACACATCACTATATAATAAATATGGCAACATGAATGTTCATAGTGACATTAGTAACTGTAGTTAAGTATCTCTAATTAAAAATGTGTAATGTGAGAATTGAGAACTATGTAACAATATGATACTACAATGGCTAGTCGAATAACAATAATATAATTTTGCTACTTTGCAAAATTATCTACAATGTATGTACGTACAACACTCCTAAGTTTTGAAGTCATTTAACTTTAAGGAATGTTGACAATTGCATAGTTAACGTGTTTCATTCTAGTACAATTAAGTTTACTTAGATACTTTGTATTTGGATTATCGGACGAGCAACAAAAATATATTGTCAAATAATACGTTACAATGTAACACACAAAAGTATTTAAAAAATGGCGACGACTAAAAAAAGAAGTGACATCTTTGATACGACAGTCAGCAAAATACTTGTCTACATAATGAATAGGGTTGGACTCTACTGAGAGTAGATCCTTTCCATTATGATACAACAACCGATCTGTTTTAGTGAACAGTGCTGATTGCAAGATAAAGTTAAAAAAAAAATGGTCACACACTGCTAACCTTAGAGGGCGCCAAATTATTGAAAAAAAAAAAATGAAAAAAAGGGGTCTTTATAGCATTGCATTCTTCTTTTCATGTCTAGATGATTGAATTGCACTACATAGAAGCATATTTGTTAGCAGACACAATATTTTCTTGCTTTTTAAGTAAAATGTATATTTAACAATTTACTAACAGCACCTGCGCCAATGCGCCACCTAGCGGGCGAAATAGTCATTGTGCTTGCCCATTAAAAATATTAGCAATGCAACCAGCGACTTCCGTACAACTCGAATAGCTCGAAGCTAGGGCCTTAGTATTAGTACTGACTGATTATGTAAAGCCTACAACACGTCTACAGCTGTAGATGAGAAGGTGACGTTTAGATAGGTGGTAGGGCATTTTATGATTTCACATGCAATTAAGGCTCATGAACATAATGTAAACGTCCAAAGCGTATCCGCATAATAAGCTAGAATTTAAACCAGTTTAACTCAAAAATTTAATTCAATTCTTTTTTTTTTATTTTATTTTTTATAATATGCATTTTACTGACTTGGAAAACACAAATGTAATGTGTTCAAATCAAACGTGTTTGGGATAACTTTATATGAAATATTTAAAATAAAATTCATTTAAAAATAATACACACTCACCTTCGTCAAACAACCCAAGGAATTTCCTAACGAAGTCTTCACTTGTGATACACTTCTCGCCATTCTTCTCTACAGTGGCGTATTTGAGGAATATCTCATGAAGTTGCTTTGAATCGGCACGCTTGAGATAACCAGCCCCCTGTTAACAAATTGTACAATATTAATAACCAAAAAGAACATTGTAAACCTGTAATGGGGGATTGACACGAGGTAGGTGTGAGAGGGACTTGACAAGGAAAAAAATAAAGAGCTCAAGTAACGTCTTCTGATCGGAAAACGTGATTTGGGTCAGTTCTCCGACCACAGGCGGTTTATGACCTTATCAACATTTCGGAAACGAGCAACACAGAACAGTGTCGAATTTTGGGGAACTGTATAGTGAACATCTACAAGAAGAGATCATGACGATGAAGACCGACAAAGGCTTGAGGACGCAACTCACATCGGAGCTCGTAGCGATGTCATACTGTTTGAAGGTCAATTAAAAATGAACTGTCTGAACTTTTTAATGTAGGTATTAATGACCAGTGTGTTGGGCTTTGAACTTTTAATTGGATCGTGCAAATCCGTAACACAGTAGTGTGTTCATTTGTTCTTTTAACCTCAAAAAAGTTGACCATTTTACGAAAAAAATAAATGATAGCAATAGCCCTTTGGCCTAATGGCTTAAAGATAGTTTGGTTTTCTTTCTTTGCCTACGAAACACTGTAATCTACACTTGTCTAGGAATCCTCGGGAATTTGGTATGTTTGCTACATTGAATAGCTAGTGTCCGCTGTAGGGCTTTATTTTGGTCATCGCATTGCATTACATTATCTCACAAGGGCTCGGCCTTGGCCTTATCGGGTGCCAGTGAGATCGATTTTAATTACACAAATGAACATGCATCAAATTTATCTTGAAAGTTTTGCATTCTGCGAGAGGGCACTGGCTATTTGGTACATTTATGTACATAATTATAATTTAATTCGGTTAGGTACATGGTTTCTTATGTCACTGAAATGTAAATTATGCTTAAATTTTAGTGGTCAAATCAAGTACGTTAATATAAATCTGTCAAATGTCGACCAGCCTTGATATTTTCATTGCCGTTCATGGTGCACACAAATAAGCAGTAACTAAATAATTGGAATACCATGTCGATACCTCCAATGAACACTATCCCAACTGAATTTTTGGACTTGTTCTGTTTTTATTTTGTTTTTGTTACTTTTTTTTCACTAAATTCGTTTTTTTTTTGTTCGTTTTTCGAATTTTGTTTCATTTTCTTTATTTTTTTTACAAAATTCGACGAGCATAATGTTAGTAAATAAATATGGCTGTTTACAAAAATAACAGAAAAAGACCAAAAAATAAGGTTGGCGTAGTGTGTCATTAGAGGTATTGATGTGATTTGTTTTGTGTAAGGGTCGAGTTTTCAGGGTAATAAAATTTTTGCAACATTCATAAATATTGCATCTCGCTATGCACCTATGTAATTTGATCTCACCTCGCTCACAGACGTTCAAAATAACATTCAAACATGAGCGTTATACTGTTATATTGAGTATACTGCCTACAAAATACGTACATAAGCAGATTTATTTTATATTTTGTCTATTAACGGAGATAAGTGGTTTAGGACATTTATTCTCACTAAGAGTTATAAATAACTCACTTACATGAGAACACAGAGAAACATATTATTACAATTTTCTTTAGAAAGCGTACAAGGACGGTAGTTCCAACTATAAAATAATAAAGTTTTACCCGCATGCTAATATAATAACAGACAACACCATCTCAGGTGCTAACTATAAGCGTAACCATGGATGTACTAACAGACTACGCCCACTGCTTATACTAGATGTGGCTCAGTATATTAATTAAAATTTTATTTCTTTTAGACTTACCAAATACAACAAATATTCTCAACAACTATTCAAACTCTTGTTATTAAACAATAACTTTGATTCAATAACTACCAGATAAGCAAAAACAAACAAGAAATAGAGAGAAACTTTTGAGAAAAAATAAAAATGAAGCTGAAAATCGGGATTTACAACTAAAAACCTAAAATCTGCAATATCTCCGAAAGTACTCATTTTTGGATAGGATATATACATGACTAAATTGGCTTCAAATTAAGTCTACTTTCACCCCTTAGAAGGAATGTATCGAGTTTCAGGTCAACCTGTATACGAGTAGATTATAAAATAATATTAACTTTGATAATAACTACTAATTAATTAGTCGACGGGAGTAGACCCCCTGTTTTGAAGCAGTTACGGAGCAACGGCAGGGTGCAGGGATATAAGCGAGGACACTCACTATAAGTGAGGCTATACATAACTGAAATTAATAAATATTTTTGAAAATATTTGCGCAGTAACCTAATCTAAGTGTTTGCCTAAGTTATCTAAGTGTGCTCATTATCTACATAATACCTGATACAACTAATATGAAGTATTTTGAGCGGATTGGCTATACCATTCAACAAAATGGTTAGATATCGAGAAATAAAAGCAATCACCACACTTATCAACGCAAAATCGGCTTGAAGTGATCATGTTTTACCGCACTTGTCGCATTAAGCCGATTTGCCGTAGATGCGGCCGTTCGGTTGTCAACGCGGCCGTTCGGTTGTCAACGCGACTGTTCGGGCGTCGTCACGACCGTTCGGGTATCAATTTTATTAATTATGTATGACAAATATTTTATGAAATTTGACCAAGTTCTGCTGTTCCGATTTTTTTTCCTTTACAATGGAATCATCCTTGTAAGAAACTGAGTCTATTAGCATTAAAAAAAATTAATCAATTTTATTCATTTTGTATGAAAAATATTTTATGTAATTTGACCAACAGCAGTCGCGATTTTTTGTCCCATACAATGAAATGATCCCTTGAAACCAAGTCAATTACAACAAACAAAATTTTGATAAATTTTATACATTTTTATGGACAACTCACGCTTGATGAAAAAATTGACTATGTCAAAATTGTTTTCATAAAAAAAGACGGGTAATGGTTCGTAAGTTCCCTTCCTTCCTTCATTCCTCGTCCTATTAACCTTAAATCCCTCTTTCTTTATGTGTATTCTCCCTTTATTAACATTTTGTGTGATTTTATACGCTCTAATAATATAATGCTTTAGTCCGTTATTTGTCCATGACTGTTTTTTTATGGTATGATCCCCAGGTATGATCTCCACAACAGCATTCGGTCCAAGAGATTCATCTAAAAATATATACCATGCTGCTAGCGAAACGTTGACGTTATTGACCAATATTAACTGACAACATTAATCAAAACTGACACTGGCCCAAGCCTAAAGCCGCCATTAAGGAAATAGAATAGAATGGTTCCTAAGACCGTTTCCTTGTATCTTCTCTGGTTTCGGATTTCCCCATACTGTCCCATTTAAAAAAAAACACTCTGTATTACAGTTTCGGCTCTCTCAAAATGACCTAACACATTATAGGTTAAGCTTTGCTGCTGCTATACAAAACTGTATAGATCAATGCCATTGTGATTGCAGAAAAATATTATTATTAGTGCTACGGCATGTGTGACTATGCACTTGGATTAAGCCGTAAATATACCAAATGCTAATTGCTTATGTTAACAGGGAGTTAACACTGTAGTAATAATTTCTTAGAATGGCCATTGAAAAGAAATAAAAACCACTACTAAATAAAGATACAAATGCAAGTCTATATGTGTAAATTTAATAAATAAAATATGAAGTATGAATTTGAAGGCATTTGAGCCACATTCCTTATGAATATTTAATGGTTCCAAGTGGGCTTTATAATCACACCTAAATCACATAACATTTATTGGCAATACCAAACAGATTGATAACCCATCATATGCAGTAGAAACTGCTAAAAATTTTTAATGTCACTTAATTTATTTTATTATTTCAGATTTAAAAAATATTTTGTTTCCTATTTTAAGTATAAAAGATGTCAATGTATTGGAACAACTCGAAAATTAAAACAAAAATATTTTCACTTGCAAAAACATCTATTTTCCATTCATTTGACATTGCATTTGACAGTGCATGTTATCGTCAACCTCATCATCACTTTCTATCAGGTGAAACAGAGGTCAAATGTGCACTTTTTTATTTGAATAAAAAAGTTAGGGTAGTATTACATTTTTTTAGAATTGCCAGCAAATCTGACAGTTATGGATGCTCTTATATATATAGTTGATTTTGACTACAGATACGAAATAGATGCAATCAGTACAGCATGTTTTACTTCATATTTCAGATATTTTTAAAAGCATTTATGACCAATATTTGTACATTGTCAGCTCATTGTAAGAAGTCACTAACTGACAAGAACAAAAATTTCAGGTGAGCAGTTAGTAACTTTTAATGAAAAAATGAAAAAGACACTTTATTTTTAAATAAATACAATACTTACGATGCAATGGCCATTCAATATAGGAAATGTTATCAAACCTGGAATTTTTGTTGAAAGCCGATGTGTTCATTAATTAGTAAGAAGAAATGTTAGTTTATATAAAATTAATCCTGTTAACAGTCATATTTATGTTATTAAATCATATTTATGAGGTAAATTCCATGACATATTTTTGAGTATGTATATACATATCTCTAATATGACAATGAAATATATCTTGGTTATCATTATATCACAATTATGCAATAATTACAGTATTTATAATGGTGTATTTAACAATTACTACCACATATCTCAGATGATATGTAACTTTCCATTCAACATATACCTATATAGTTAGTAGATATAATCATGTTCCATACCAGTTCCCAGTTATGTAAGAAAAGATAAGTACCTTTTAATGACTATAAGATATAGGACAAAACAAGATCTAATTTGAATTAAATTAACACAACTACAACATCTATTGGCTTAAAAAACACATACAAAAAGAATCAAAAGTAAATTGTGAAATATATCAAACCCAATGCACAAATCAGAGCTATTTTCATATAAGTTGTTGAATAACAAAAAACATTTCTGTATCACTCAATTCACTATTTACCACACACTAAAAAGAACTACAAACACGATTTAAAAATATTGAAAGTATTTCTTTCAAGGAACAAAGTAACAATATTTCAGTTACCCTACGAGACGTCGTCATTTTGTCCTGAAGGCTC